GTCTCCCAAATGGCTGGGGCTACAGGTGTAAGCCACTGTGCCTGGCACCTTCTCCATTTCTAGAGAGGATGCTGGGCACGGTGGTGCCTGCCTGAAATCCAGACTTGGGAGGGGAGGTAGGAGGACTGTAAATTCCAGGCCCACAAAGGCAATTTATGGAGACCCCATCTCAAAATAAAAAAAGGCCTGGGGAGCAGCTTGGAGCGGAGCGCTTGCCCAGCATGGGCGAGGCCCTGGTTCATCCAGAGCACGGAGGGAAGAGGACTGTGCCTCTCTCCTGTTCACGGTACTGTCTTGGCTGCCCATTGCCATCAGCATAGAACCTGGGCTCCCGGGCCTGGCCCTTGGGATCTGCTCACCTGACATCTCCTCTATTGCGTTTCTGGCTTCTCTCCCTTCCTCCTGCCTCTCCTTGGGGCCAAGTGCCTCCTCTTGGTGGAAGTGAGGAAAGGCAAGTGAGGGAGGTGAGTTTTCTCCCCTCTGCTCCTTGTATTTAACTGGAGTCCATTGAATTTGCATTCAAATCTCCTCTTTGCCATTTCCTTGCTGTTTGTGATCCTGGGCAGGTCTCAGACCCTCTCCGAGTTTCATATGCCTCCTTTCCTCCTTATGCCATATGCAGATAATACTTTTCTCCCCTAAGGCTAAATTCATTTTTATTGCAATTGTGCTGTTTTTTTTTTTTTGGTACCATTGGCACTTAACCACTGAGCCATATCCCCAGCCCTTTTAAAAATATATTTTTTATTTAGAGACAAATCTTGCTGAGTTGCTTAGGGCCTTGCTAAACTGCTGAGGCTGGTTTTGAACTCATGATCCTCCTGTCTCAGCCTCCCTAGTCTCTAGGATTACAGGTGTGGCCACTGCCTCTGGCAATTGTGTTGTTTTTTTGAGAACAGATTCATCTGGCTCAAAATCTTAAAAATACAAAATATATAAAAGTTTGTATTCACAGAAAATATTTCCTAAGATACCCAATTCCTCTGCCTTCAAATTTACCAAATTGTGTCTCTTTTTTCATACCTTTAAGACTCTTCCATACATACCATCTGCTGAGGACATACTGTAGGTGCTGTCCTTGGATCACTGTTCAGTCCTCATACCCACCTCATACCCAAGGTGGAGGAGGAAAATGAAACTCAGTAGACAGGAAGCCACACCGTTGGCAAGCATTAGCACCAAGCAAAGCAAATGTGTCCATTTGTGAAGGGCCCACTAATATGCTTGGACTCAGGATTGTCCCAGACCTTTATATTCATTTATTTAACAAATACTGAATGCCTGCATGTTTCATGTTTCGGGCACTGAGCCGGGTGTTACATCGTGGAGAGGAAAACACGTGGGTTTAGCCCTCCCAGACTTTACATCCCAGTGGAGACAGCCCTGGCGGAGGGAGGTACATTTGTTCTCCTTCTTCCAGGTAAGAAACCAAGAACGGAAGGGAAAGAAATTGCCCTGAAGTCACACTGTGATACGAGCTGAGATTAGCAGTCCCATTTTACAGGTTTGAAAACCGAGTCACAAGAGGCAAAATACTTGTTCCAGGAAACCGGCTAGGGCGCGCAGGGCTCGGACTGGACCGCTCCCAGCCGGCCAGTCCCAGCGCGCCCTGGTGGCCGGGGCCCGCCCCGGCCCCGCCCCTCTCTCCCTCCCGCGCGCCTTCCTGGCCGCCTGGCTGCAGTTTCCTGCTTGCGTCGCTGGGCGGGCGGCTGGCCCATCTGGCGGCCCCCACTGGGCGTGCGGGGAGGCGGCCCAGACTCGCTGGAGCCAGGCGCCGGCCGGGGGCCCCCTGCCCGCGCGGAGAGCCCAGGTGTGGCCGCGGCGGGGGCGGGAGGTGGTGCTTTCCTTCCCGCTCGCTCGGCCCTTCCTGACGAGCCCGGCAGGATGCAGCCTCCGCCTCCCTCGACTGTGCCTGGGATCCTGCGGGGAGTCACACGGGGTAGGGGCGGGAAGAGAGCAGACTCCACCTGGGATGTTCACTTTGTGACTCTGTAGGTCTTGCTGTCTTGGGATAAATATTTATTAAATAAATTAAATATTTATTTTTTAGGTGTAGATGGACACAACACAATGCCTTTATTTTTATGTGGTGCTGAGGATGGAACCCGGGTCCCGCCAGTGCTAGGCGAGCACCCCCCCCCCCCCAAAGGGCTAGTTTTACCCCTTGGTGCAGGGACAGCTGAGCTTTATTTGGGAGTGGGGTCTGAACCCAGGATCTCTGGACCACTAAACCTCAGCCCTGTATATCTTGAGACAGGGTCTTGTTCTTGGTAAGTGGTTGAGGCTGGCCTTGAACTCGTGATCCTCCTGCCTCGGCCTCCAGTCTTTGGGGTTACAGGCTAGAGCCACCGCGCGGGGCCACACACCAGGACTCTGATCTTTGGGTTGCACAGGTTTTTGCTTTGCTGCTCGGGATGGGACAGGATCAGGGCAATCCGAGGCATCACTCCTGTGCTGTCATAACATCACCCTTCAGGGTGAGTGGGCATCTGATCTTCTTGTACCCTGCTGTTCCCAACCACTTGATTGGTGTCTTACATTCCTGCTAGTGGGCCCCATAGAGGGCTCAAGGCTTTCCCCCCGGAGAAGATGGACTCGCCTAGAGAGGAGATTTTTACTCCTTCACAGCTGGGGAAACAGGACAGCGTGCGAGGCTCTCAGTCACATTGTGGGAGCCAGCCCTGCACTCTAGGTTGCACCCCATGTCCCCGTCCACCAAACCAAGAAGAGATCCAGGAAATCCAGAATTCGAATTTATGTCAAATGTCACCATGGTCAGCTGTCATGGTCATGGAAACCAGGCACCCTGGGCTCAAATGCTCCCTTGGTACTTAAGGCCTCTTTGCCTCCTTCCCCGCATCTGTAAAAAACAGTAAGGCTAGGCACGGGGGAGGGGGGGGCCGCACCGTGATACCAGTGAGGCTGAGGCAGGAGGATTGCAAGTTCAAAGTCAGCCTCAGCAAGTTAGTGAGACCCTGTCTCTAAATTTAGAAAAAGGTAATCCCCATGACCACAAATGAAAAAATAAGTAAATAAAAAAAGGGCTGGAGGGCTGTGGCCCAGTGGTAGAACGTTTGCCTAGCATGTGTGAGGCCTGGGGTTCAATCCTCAGCACCACATAAAGATAATAAAATAAAATAAAGGTATTATGTCCATCTACAACTAAAAAAAAAAAAAAAGGGCTGTGGTAAAGAATCCCTGGGTTCAATCGCCAGTACCAAGCGGGTGGGCGGCAGGTATCTTAAGAGTTACTACAATGATTAAATATTTTAAGATGCTAGCATAATGCTAGTCCCATGTGAAACTGCTGCATACCAAGCCTGTACTGGGGCTCTCCGTGGGGCTGGAGCCCCCTTGTACTGTGGTCAGGGGAGACTGAGGCAGACCGGGACACAAATCAGGGCAGTAGAGTAGCTTCTCAAGAATCTGCCCCCACCCCAGGGAGAGGCTGGCACCAGACCCACCTTGGCCCTGCCCAGCCACCCACCCTTGCCGCCCAGAGTGCAGACCCAATCCGTGCCCGGCCTGGTGCCATTTTTCCATGGGACTCGGGCGGTGGCGGTTCACATCTGGAGTCTAGACTCGGAGGCTCTGCAGGCTGGGCCTACCGCCCGGGCTGGGCCCTGCTGCCCGCTGTTTGCTCAGCTGAAGCTGGTTAATTGGAACTGGAGTGGCCTCTGCGGTGCCGGCTGGCCGGGCGGCCCTGCCGAGGTCTGTGGAACATCTGGCCAGGCCAGGACGGTCATTAGGTGGCAGGCGCCCGGCGCCACTGCCACCTCAGCCTCCGCCGGGGGCTGGCGGTGACTCAATGAGGCCTTTGTGGGCCTTGGGCCACAGAGCCAACCACGCTGTGTGCCTGGGCTGCCTGCCCCATCTGCCGCCCTCAGAGGGGCTTTGTTCCAGGACCACACGGCCTCCCTCTGGAGGCAGCTGGAATCTGCAGAGATCCAGAAGTCCCTGAAAGGACCCCCTGGCTAGAAGCCTGAGATTTCCTTCCCTTTTCATAGTATCCTGGGCCCAGAGAAGTTGGGTGGCTCGCTCAGAGGGGCCCAGTGTAATAGCTACAGAGACTTGGTCCCAGGGGTCTGGAAAGCAGTGGAACAGTCCTTAGAACTCTCAATTCCCACCTGGATTGCTCGAGGCCAAATCCCTGTCTGTGGACAGGCTTCCTCCATTCCCTCATTTGCATGCTGGGCTGACAACAGCACCTACAGCCTAAGACTGTGACAATGAGATGCCTGGTCATCGGTCTCACTTCTGAGGCGTTAGTCACACTTGTCTTTTGGAAGCCTGTTATTTTTAGCCTGTGAACCTGGAGCTTGGGCCAGGGAGAACAATGGCCACAGCCTTCTGTCTCTGTGGCCCCACCCAGCGACCCCTTCCTAGGCACTTGGATGAAGGCCGTGTCACTTCTTGCCAGGTCCACTGGGGGCTCTCATGCAGGACAGGGGTTAGGGAAACTCTGGTCCTGGTATTTATAGCTCCTGGGCCTAGATGGCCTAGGAGACACTGAGTCCCTCTCCACTCCAGCCTCTCTAAAGGACAGGCCTTTGTGTTGTAACTGGCTGCTTTTTTGGGGAAGAACCCAGAATGGGCAGAATGGGAGAGATGGGGCCTTGAACTCCACGGCAGCCTAGAGTGTGGGTCACCAGCTGAAGTCATATGGACGTTGGGGCCAGGGGAGCTGGCAGGCTGGCTTTATCAGGTTGGCCTCTGGTTCTTTCCCTACCATTCACCAAGGCGAGTGACTGCCCAGCACCCTTACTGCCCCAAGTATCCAGAAGCAGGTGATGAGGAAAACCTGTGGCTCAGGAGGGCTTATGGCCCCCCCTGCTGGCCACAGGGTGTTCTTGGGGTGCTAAACTGACCCAGCACCGGAGCGGGCACTCAGAAGAGCGCTTGCAGAAGTTTCTGGGTGGGCAGATGAGACTTAGTAAACCCAGCACAAGGCACTGGGTGCATGTGCAGAGGACCCTTACAGAAGCACAGCGTCCACCCTGGCCATGGGATGAGTTTTTAATGTAAGGCAAAGTCAGTCCACAATACAAAAATCTAAAAATCACACCCAGTTTTCCCACCTGGTTCCGGGGGAGGGAGGAAGCTGGGGGTTGGTTTCCTTTGCCTGCAGGGGATGAGGAGAGCAGAGGAGGGCCAGAGAAGGGGGGAGAGGGAAACAGAGGCCACAGAGACCTAGCTGGAGGGATCCTGCTGCCCCCGTCCCAGTCCCTGGAGCAGTGTCCTGAACCCTCTCCCATGCACGCCTGTCAGCCCATCTCCCTGGCTGGTCTGGCCCTGACGGGGTCGGGTACCAGTTGCATCATTTCTCCTTCTTCTCTAGTCCCTTCGATGCTGATGCCTCTGTGGCCTCTTTGGATTCTGTCACTGCTGCTGGATCCTTAGGATTTGACTCCTCATAACTGATTAGAAAACAAGACAATAAAAACACATTCAGCGGAGGTGGAGACAGAACTTTGCTGCCCCCCCCACCCTTGCCATCCCAGGAAGCCCCTGGGCACGTAAGGATCATCAGCTCTGTATCACTGCCCAGTATCTGCCAGTACCTGGCCCCAGCCCCAAGGTGCCCTCCCCAGACTCTGCCTTCTCTGTACCCTCGTGGTGCCAAGAGGCAGCAAGAACAGCAGCAAGTAGGAGAGGTTGGGCATGAGCTTAGATGGATCATCTTTAAGCTTCCTGAACCTTCTGCTAAAGAGTGTGTGTGTGGGGAAAGACAGCCAACTTGAGCCGATGGGAGATGGGCTGCCTCTCAGGACGCATGGCAGGAGCCCAACAGCTCAGCCTCAGGGGTGTGAGTGGTGGAGACTGTTCTTGAAGATGGACACCTTGGCTTAACTCTTACTGTGGACTTCACTTATTGAGCAACTGTGTACATGCCAAGGACAATACACATGTTTCCTCACCAGATTAACCTTGTGAGGCAGGAATGTGCCCACTTACAGATGAAGAAAGAAAGGTTCTGAAAGCAGCAGCATTGTGGCTCGGGTTGTGCACACAGTGAGTGGTCACAGCATCCACCACTATCTGACAAGGGCCACTCATGTCCACCCTCTCACATGAGCCCCATAATATTGGTGAATACTCCAAAGTTCTGGGGCTCCCTGCTCCCCAAAGGGCTGGGTGTGCAGAGTGCTGGTGGCCGTGGAGAGCTAGAGTGTGTGCCCTACCTTGGGCTGGGGCAGTGGGGGGAGCGGGCAGGTGGGCACCCGCTGGGCATTACATGGCGCTGGGATTCTGCGGGCGCCGGCGACGAGAGCCAGCTAGCTTCTGCTGCATGGAGTCGGCCAGGCTGGCAGGGGAGCCCGAGACCGTGGGGAAGTGGGTGAGCCTCGGGGTATGAGGCAGGATTTCCGCAGAGGACTCGTAGCTGTGTGAAGAGACAGAGACAGAGAGAGAGAGAGAACAAGAGATGGAGAGGGAAAGCTCAGGGAGACAGACTGCGTTTCCAAGGGGCAAGGAGCACAACCATTTTATTTTTATCTGCTCTGCACTTTCAGACTTTGTGAAAAGAGGCCAGTTTTACTTGGAGAACAAGGACAGGCGTACCTCTACAAGGACAGGTGCTCACGCAGCTGAGCAGAAGAGCAAGAATGCCCTGGTTGTGCCATGTGCTGCTGCCGAGGTCTCTCTCAGACAAAAACCAAGGCTGGCAGTGTCGCTGGGTGTGCTTAGCATGTGTGAGGCTTGACCCCCAGCACCAGGAAACCACAAAAACACACGTGCAAAAAAATCAAGACGCAGAATGCCACCATAATCGAGACATATTTGCATCTCAGATCACAGGTGTTTCTGAATGTACGCGAGAGCTGGCCTCTGGTGGCTGGGGCAGGAGGATGTTCTCCCTCTCATAGCCATGGAATTCTGAACCATGTTTAAACCAAATTTTGAAACAATTTAAAAATAAACGAGCCAGGTGACATGGCCCATGCTATAATCCCAGCTACTTGGGATGCTGGGGAAGGGGGATTGCCAAGTTTGAGGCCAGCCTCAGCTACTTAGCAAGACCCTGTCTCAAAGGACTGGGAATGTAGCTTGGTGGTGAAACAGCCTGAGTGATCCCCAGTATGACCACCGCCACACACACGGGGGGCGGGGGGGGAAGAACAATAATAATAAAAGAAAAAAATAAAGCAAAAAGTGCAAAGTCAGGGGGAGAGTGGAAAGGACATAAAAAGAGAGCAGGGCTGGGGTGTGGCTCAGCGGAAGGTCTAGTAGCGCAGGGCCCTGGGTTCAACCCCCAGCACCACAGAAAAAAGAAAAAGAGGAGAGGAGAGGAGAGGACAGGATGGAGAGAGAGAAAGACCCCCTGTCTTTCACCTTTCCCCAAGGACCTCCTGGGTGAGCGGGGGCAGAGGCGGGGCAGGCTGCCTGGACACCAGAGCACTGAGGAACACAAAGGGAGGTACCTCCTGGCCTGGCTGGGCAGAGTTCTGGCTGCTGAGAGCCTAACAGGACTGAGCTAGGGAGGTGACCCAGGGGGTGGGGTGGTAGGGCCTGAAGCTGGATGAGTGAGGTGCTGAACTCTGGGATCAGGTGCCATGCCTCATCCCAAAGGTTCCCCAAATCTGTCCTCAAGTTCATTTCCCCACCCAACTTGCCTCAGAGATCACAGGGCTTTGCCAGGCCAGGAGGATACGAACGCAGGCTGGGAGCTGGGATTCCAGGCAGGACAGGGAGGGCAGAGGCAGGTACGGGGGAGGGGTGAGTCACAGGCTGCCCTGCGGGCAGCCAGGTGCACAGGAGGCCCTGGCAGGCGCTTGAGGGGCAACTTGGAGACCAGGCAGGTGGAGCTGGGTGGAAGCCCCCGAGTGGGCAGCTTAATCGCAGCTGGCAGCTATTTCTAGGTCCCTGGCAGGTGGGGTCGGTCGTGCTAGGGAGCGGACACCTGCTGGAGTCACGCAGGCCTTGGGGTAGGGGGTGGGGCTGTGCATGAAGTGTGGCAAATGTGGATGTGGCCCTGGGGAAGGGGTATGTGAGTGAGACAGGCTGAGATGGGGAGCGAGCAGTGAGCTGTGCAGTGAAGGCCACGGAGGCGGCTAACAGGGACCAACACGCGACTCTGAACAGAGGGCACTTTCTCCCACACATCCCATCTCACTGCTCACGTGTGAAAACTGATGCTGGGGGAGGAGAAAGACTCGCTTCAAGTCATCTGATGGCAAAGCCAGGCTGAGAACCCGGGACTCTGGGCTGTGGTTGGGGAGAAACCAACACTAGTGTTCCCTTCTTAAGACCAGTTGCCATGAGGCCACGAGGCCTCACCCTCCTAGGCTCCTGGCCCAGGCAAAGGCTTCCACTGGTGTCCATAGCCATAGCTCAGGTGCTGGAAGACAATGAGAGTGGAGCAGGTGGAGAGGGAACAGTGGTCCCTGGAGATGGGTACCGCCACCCCCTTAGCCACCCGAAGGTGCACCTGGGTCCAACTGAATGTCTGCCCCACCCAGCCTTACCTGAACATTTCTGTCACTTCTCCTTTGGCCAGCGCCACCAGGACGGGAAAGCCAATGCAGGCAGGTACCAGGTACAGGAGAGCAGGCTGTGAGAGAGAGGCTGGTCAGGCAGTGCTGGGCAGGGCACCTGCTCAGGGCCATGCCCCGCACCCCAACCCTCTCCTGGGCTTAATTGTGGGACAGTTCTCCCAGGCTTGTAGAGCAAGGCAGTGGTTGGACCTGAACCCAGGGTTCCTAGACTCCTAGACCAGAGCTGATCCTCACTTGGAGGGACTGCAGCAAACACAGACACTCAAGGATGCAGGGCTTCAAGGGGTCTCAGGAGTCTGGCTGGCAGTGTGAACCACTCAAACACCAGATTCCAAACTGCAGCTGCCCGGGCACTCTCATTCTCAGAGGCCTTGCTGCCCAGGCTTAGGGTAGGTGGCTCGAATTGCAGCAAATGCTCTGGGGGATGCTTCTGTAATGGGGACGATGATGACATAGCTGCTATGCTTTCGGAGTTTGCTGCAGCTTGTATGAAGGTGACCCAGCGGTCACTGGCTCCCCAGGATTTACCCCCAGGCAATCTGGCCCCAAAAGTCTGTGCTGAGACTCCTGGTAAAGCTGGGTTAAGAGAAAGGACAAGTATGCTAAGAGCCCCTCAGGGCATCCCCATGCCCAGTGAAGGCCCTCAGCTGACCTCCCTGGCATGTCTCAGCCCATCTCCAGAGCCCAGGCATGCTGGCCTTTCCCCTGCAGCACCTGAAAGGTAGACATGGATCCACAGTTCACCCTTCCCCAGTGCTGGCCAGGTGTGAAGGCCCCAGGAAATGCGGCTCTTGCTTCCTTTTCTACCCTCACTTGACCCTGCCTGCTCTGGCCAGTCCCAGGACCTTTGTGTGTACTGTCTCTGCGGCTTGGAGGTTGTTTCCACCTTTGTCCAGGTTCTTCTTCCTTCAGCCCTCAGCTGATAGTACCTCTCCTCCCCGGGGAGCGTGCACTCACAAGGCAACAGGTCTCCTTAATGCAGGCTCCCAGAGCCCTCTAACTCTCACCCTTAGGGCATTTACTGGTCAATCTATGGTCCTGAGCCCTTGCTGACTGGTGTCTCCCTCCCCTGAGGGACTGTGGCCTGGGTCAGTGCGGGCCCAGCTGTCTTGTTCACTGCTGCGTACCAATCAGCCAATCAGGGCCTGATAAATACTAGTGACCGGCTTCTTCATGGGTGTTCATGAAGTTAGGGTGTCTCGGAGATACCATCCTTGGTGCAGAGCAGCCGGCAGTCAGGGAACACAGGGCTCTCTCTTCCCTTTGCACTCTCCAGTCAGATCTTCAGATCATTTCTTGGCACCTGCCCAGGTGGGCTGTGAACTACATCTTATGGAGATTATCCTTGAATCTATTAACACCCTAAGTCTTAGGATCTGGTTTTTACAGATGATGTTACTGAAGCTCAGGAGGAAATGACCTGCCCAAAGGTCATATAGATGTGTTAGCTTGGATTTGACTCTGGACAGCTGTGCTTCTTCCACTGGCATTAGATCTTTGCTGTGTACTAGATTTCGAGCCAAGGGTAATAAACAAAAACCAAAACAAAACAATAACAAAATGACAAAGGTCCACATTAAAATCTGTAAGAAGAGCTGGGGCTGTAGCTCAGTGGGAGAGCGCTTGCCTCGCATGTGTGAGGCACTGGGTTCCATCCTGAGCACTACATAAAAACAGAATAAAGGTATTGTGTCCATCTACAACTTAAACAAACAAACAAACAAACAAATCACACGACTGTAAGAAGCAGCCAAGTGGTACACAGAGAAAGATTTATGCTGGCTCAGCAGCACACACCTGTAAATCCCAGTAGCTCAGGAGGCTGAGGCAGGAGGATTTTGAGTTCAAAGCCAGCCTCAGCAATTAGCAAGACTAATTGAAGGACCCATTCAAAATCACAGTTGGGGGCTGGGGTTGTGGCTCAGTGGTAAAGCACTTGCCTGGCATGTGTGAGGCCCTGGGTTCAATCCTCAGCACTGCATATAAATAAATAAATAAATAAATAAATAAACAATCCATTTACAACTAAAAAACGTTAAAAAAAAAAAAAAATCACAGTTGGCCAGGATTTGGACCTAGGTTCCTCTGCCTCTAAGACCAGTGCGTTCTATTTACCAAAGCCAGACTGGGCAGAGAGGGTTTCTAGGGCAAGGAGGTAGAAAGTTGGCTCTTCCCTTGCAGGCAGCTTCACCTGGGAACTGGCAGTCACTGAGAGGTTTCAGGGGCCAATGGGAAGGGCTCCTTTGGGAAGCAGTAGGTTCACTATTATCAGAGGGATACAGTCTGTACTATTTATTTTCCTCTCAAGGACTCAGGGAACTTCACCAGTCAGTGCCAAGGAGAAGATGGGCTGTAAAGCTCAGGGCAATGAGCTAGGGCAGGCTCCTGGCTTTCCACTGGCTTTGCTATGTCACCATGGCTAAACTGCTTCCTTTTCCGGGCTTGTCTCTCCCTCTGCGCAATGACATTAGACTCAAACATATCCACAGGCCTTCCTGAGGAGGCTGCTGGCTTTCTGGCTTGAAGCAAGATTCTGAAAGAGGATAAGCTGAACTTCTCACAGAGGACACCAATTGCTTGCTAGAGCAATGCTGGCACCAGGACTACCTGTGTCTTAGAGAGGGAAGACTTCATGGAACAGGCTTTCCTGGTGTCCTTGATGCCCTTCCCAAGAAGCATTTTAAGGGTGATGCCTACTTGGATGATTGGGCAGAAGGGCTGAGCAGCAGCTGGAGTATAGCACAGGTCTGGGGCCAGGGACCAGAGTCTAGGGCTTTGTAGGGGCCCAGCTCAACTTGCTGTGTGACTTGGGGAAGTCTCCCTTCCTCCTAGGGTTGCAATTTCCCCACAAAGGAGAGAACCATCTCTTACTCCTGCTCCCTACATGTGTGAGAGCTTGGAATGGATCCTTCTTTCAGTTAAGACAGCCAGAAGGCAAGCCTGCCACCTGGTGGCTGCCAAGGGAATAGTTCTGAGGCTAGGAACTAGAGCAGAGACCTCCAAAAGGCCTTTGAACTAGTCACCCAACCCAGATCTACTCACTCTGTGATCCCCTTGCCAAGTGCATGTCATTCTAAATTGGCCCCTGAGGCCATCTGGAGCAGAACTGAGTGCAAGGTGGTTCTGCAAGGGTTCTTGGTATCTCCACCTATGGGCTAAGGGACTTCTTTAAGGGTTTAGCAGAGTGCCTGACAGTGATCAATAAAAAGCTTCTGTAGTAATTCAAAGGCAGTTTTTCTGTGTCTGAGTCATGGGGAGGGGGAAAAGGAAAGGCAACACTAGTACAATAGTACCCACCCCCATGCCCCATTGTGAATGCCTGAAAGCATGGTAACACTGAACCCTGTCTGTAACCCCCGATGGCTAGTGACTAATGGGTGGGTGGTGCATACAGTGTGCATACATCCCTTGAAAAAGGGATGGTTCTTATGGGATGGTGAGAGATTTCATTATGATACTCAGAACTGCATGCAATTTAAAACTTATTATTATAAGTTATTTTTATAATTTTTCATTTAATGTTTTTGAGCTCCGGGTAAGTGAAACCACAGCAAAAGTCTGTAGGAGGGTGAGGGGAGACTACTGTGATGTGTCTCTAGGGAGTTCAATTATATTAACTCATCCTCAAACCACCCCAAGGTGGCTATTTTTCTATCTTTTCTGGTTTTATGAATGAATGAGGAAAACCAAGCATAACAGCCAACCTGCCCACAGTCTCAGAGTCGACTGTCTGGATTCCCAGCAGAGCTCCCTTAGCCTGTTGTGCACAGCCTTTCCTAGTGCCAGGGCAGAGCCTGGGCATGCAAGTTGATCCAGGCTTGAATCCTGGCTCCACTACACACATACTCAGTGCGGTACCTGAGCTCTAGTTTCTCATCTGTTCTTAGGGGACCCTCATGAGCTCAGAGCCTGCACGTGGGATGCCAAACAAATACGAGCTCCTCCTGTTGCCAACAGAGAGGAGGCAATCACATATTCTGTTTCCTTCCCAGTCCTCATGCTATGCTGCTTCACTCTGGTAGAAGGAGGACGAAGAGCCTTGGCTAACTCGGGGAGGAGATGGAGGGGAAGCCTCAGCACCTTACATCTCATCTGTGTGGACACCAGAATGGACACCCAACACCCACCCAATCCTGTCCTTCTCCGCCTGCCTCCACTACAGAGCTTCAGAAGCACAGTCTTCTTCCCACATGCTCCTGCTCCCAGGGTGGCCATGTGATACTGATCTAAAGGCCTCTGAGAAGTGAGCAGAAAGTTGTGGGCTGTGGGAAAGTTCCTGCGCTCCTGACAATGTGGGCAGTATGACTGCTAGGCCTTCTCTTCTTCCTTGCCCCTGGAGCGCGAGTGTTGCCTGGAGCATGGCAGCTACCTTGCAACCACCAGTGAAAGGTCAAGAGAATCACAAACGGGATTGCTGATACCACTGGCAGTACCTGCCTCTGGACCGCTTGTACCTGTGACAGATAAGCCCTCTGTAAGTCTTGCTCACCTGGGCGTGCTTGAAGATGTGCATGATGAAGATGGTGAGGCCCAGGCCGAAGATGTAGGCTGCGAAGCTGGTGTAGAAGTAGGTATGGGTGTTCTTCTTCAAGCTTCCAGGAAGGCATGGGAAGAAAGAGGGAGTTAGTGCAGGAACTGGAGTGGCAGTATCCCTTCCAAGGAGGGAGCTGGGGGAGACCCTGTAAGTTGTGGGGCTGGCAAAGCTCCGCGCTGCACTCACTACTGCCCCCAGCTTCATATCTCTGAACAAGTCACTTTCTTTCTTTCAATCTCAGTTTACTTATCTGCAAAATAGGAAAACCAAGAGCCTGTCTCCTTGGTGTTGTAAATATCAAATACAAGAACTCTGAACAGTGGCTGTAAGTTTAGTCAGCATAAAAAATCATCTAGAAAGCTGGGAAGGAAGAAAGGGGAAAAAAAAGTAGGGCTCTAGATCCAGTCCCCAGGGAGGGTGACCTTTTTTTGGGTACTAGGATTTAACCCGGGGTGCCTTATCACTGAGCTACATCCCTAGTCCTTTTTTTTTTTTGGTTGTTGTTGACAGATCTTTATTTTTTATTTATTTATATGTGTGCTGAGAATCGAACCCAGCACCTCACTCATGCCAGGCAAGTGCGCTACCACTGAGCCACAACCCCAGCTGCATCCCTAGTCCTTTTAAAATTTTGAGACAGGGTCTGGCTAAATTGTGGAGGCTGGTCTTGAATTTACAGTCCTCGTGCCCATAGCCCCCTCAGCTGCTGGTATTACAGGGGTCTGCTGCCACACCCAGCAGGGAGGGTGATCTGATGAGCTTAGGGCGAGGCCATGGGATCTACATTTTGAAAACAACCCAGGCGAATCTGATACAAGTGGATCCTTTTAATTTTGGGGGGTAGGTAGTGCTGGGGATTAAGCCAAGGGTCACACTCATGCTAGGCAGCCACTCTCCCACCAAACTACATCCCCATCCCGAGTTCAAGCTTTGAGAAATAATAAGACAAACTTCACAGGCAAGTTATTGCTTTTCAGTGCAGTGGATGCTACGGTTCAGCAACCTTTTTGTGGGTGCTAAACAGATGCTGGCTGCACGCCAGTGGCTTCCTGGAGGTGATTCATCCAAGGTTCCCTTCAGAACACACCAGTCATATTCAACCTGGCATTGCCATTACCTGACTTCCCTTTACAATGCCAGCTACATAACCTCTGTGTGTCCTCAGCTCCTGGAACAGTGCCCACCAAGTACTAGAGGCTCAGGTTAACATCTGTGGAACGAATGGATACTTCTGACTCCCCTTTCCTTGCCCTGGTTGCTTCTAAAGTCTTGAGCTACAAGTACACTGACACGATCCTGTTATGAGCGATGGGGTACAAGTGACTCCCTTTGGGAACACCGCACTGATTCTGGAACCACTCTGAGGGGCTTGCTTACCCTGAGGGCTCATGGTGGGAAGGAATTCTGCCTTTGAGGGTGTTGGCAGCTGAATGTGTCTGCAGCAAATGAGCCAAGGGACTTCTGTGGGTTTCTCTTTGTCTTAACTCAGAACAGCCAGGAATAGAACTGGCTGGTCCAGATGCACTTCTACTTACCACCTGGCCAGAGCCCTTCAAAGGTAGGCTGTCAGCCTGTGTGTTTCAGAGGCCCACTCAAACTAAATTTTCTTTCTTTTAGTATCAAGGATTGAACCCAGGGCACTCAACCACTGAGCCACATCCCCAGCCCATTTTTATATTTTAATTAAAGACAGGGTCTCACCGCGTTGCTTAGGGCATCACTAAGTTGCTGAGGCTGGCTTTGAACTCACAATTCTCCTGCCTCAGCCTCCCGAGCTTTAGGATTATAGGCGTGTCCCATTGCACCTGGCCTCTGAATAGAATTTCAATGATGCTGGCATTGAAATTGCCATTACTACTGTCAACACTAGTACTGTTTTTGCAGTTACTAGGTGTGAGGAGATGAAAAATTCACAAGCTACCTCAAAATTGAGTGCATACACATAGGCCCTAGCTGGGAGGATTGAGCATAAAATGACGGCACAGTCACATGCACCTACTGCTGGCAGGAGGCCCAGCTACCCAGGTGATTTTGCTCCAACGTGACCTTTTGTTTTAGGTGGTGACCCAGGTTGCCCCTTTTCTCTTGTGTTTTATTTTTCTTTTTCCCCTTGATACTAGGAATGGAACCCAAGGGCGCTCTACCACTGAGCTACATCCCCAGCCATTTTTATGTTGAGGAAGGGTCTAAGTTGATGAGGTGGGCCCTGAACTTGCAATCCTCTTGCCTTGGCTTCCTGAGTTGCTGGAATTACAGGCGGCATCACTGAGCCTAGCCCATGTGTTCACTTTCTACCTTACACAGAAAAGAATCTCAGTAAGCAGAGGGCAGGGAACACCTTCAGCAGCTGGGACATGATGACCTGACCCCAGGCTGATAAATGAAGCTGAGGACAATGATGATGACCATAGCTGACCTCCCCCAGAGCCACCGAGGTCATCCTGTGCCTAGCACTCCCCTCTCCATTATCAGGGTAATTTTAAGGTAGATACTCTTGTTTTTCACTCACTTAAGGATAAGAAACCTGAGGCTCATAAAAGTCAGGCCACTTGCCAAGGGCACACGGTAAGAAAGCACTACAAGTACCACCAGGACTTTTTTAGGTCTCGTGGCTTATGATTCTCAACTTAAAACCAAAGCAAACCGAACAAAAAACTTTTGGCCGTGGGCTCTTGGCATGCTTACAACTTCGGAATGTAGATGAAATCGGAACTGCTCTGGCTGCTGTGGGGGTGGAGGGTCTGGTCCCCTCAGGTCCCCTCAGGTCCCTCCTCAGGGCTCTGGAAAGCCGCTGGAGAATCCTGGGAGAACCCTAGTGCACAGCAGGCCCTCCCGCGCTTACCTGATGTCAAAACGCAGCAGCAAGGCGATGAAGATCCCTGCGGGAGAGAGCCAGAGTTAGAGGGGAGCATGGGTGGAGGCTGCGAGCTAACAGGAGACTGGGCTTGGTCCCCAACCTGAAATTCCCAGTCATGGAGCAATTACTGGGGGTCAAATGAGTGGCTGATGCTGCAAGTGCCAGTGGAAATTCCATTTTTCAACCTAGAATAATAAGTCAAGTCCTGGGATTTTGCTTTGGCCCGGGACTACAATGACTGAGCATCTCAGCACCACACTATGTCACACTGGGTCTCTTGTCCCAATGTTTACTGACCACCTATTAAGCACCAGGCACAATGGCTAAGCTCTCAGAGTTCAGCCAAAGGAGCAGAGGGGAGACATGCTGTGACATACTTCAAATAGTGATAAAAGTTAGTGAGGCTTCTAACTGTGAAGGGGTGCTTCCTGTGTCACGGGGAAATGTGCTGTGATGAACCCAGCCTGCTGGTAGAAGAGGGGGATAAAGGAGGGCTTCTTGGAAATGACCCGTCAGGAGAGGAGACTGTGTGTGTGAAGACCCCAGGAAAGAGGGCTTGGCAGGGGAGTGGGTAGGGACTGGAGGGCCAGTAAGGCTGGCAGCAGATGCAGGCTTGGGCCAGCCGTGCAAGGCACCAGGCTCTATGGGGATGAGCTAGGTCTACACCCTGAGCAGGAGACACACTAAAAGAGTTCTAGGGAGGAGAAAATCTAAAACAGATTTTGAAAAAGACTCCTGTGCAGCTGCCTGGCAGGAAGCGGGAGAGGGGAGCAGGAAGCTGACAATCAGGAGGCTCTGCAGAGCTCAGGAGAGGAGGGCAGTTCTGCCCACCCTCCGCATTCCTACTCACTGTTCAAAACCACACTCCCACCCAGAGGCCGCTAAGTCCCTGAGACATGGTCAGCTGCTCCAGTCATTACACTCACATCGCAGCATGTGTGTGTCTGTCTCTTTCACTGGTCTTCAGGATCATACAGGGCAGAGGCTGAGTCTCATTTAGCTAAGGGTAAGTTCTCAAGATAATCAGAAGCACCAAGTGACAACAAATGACTGTGTGTGCATTTTGCAGTGCTGGAGATTGAACCCTGGGCTTTGTGCGTGCTAGGCAAGTGCTCTACCACTGAGCTACACCCACACTCCCACAGGATTACTTCAGAAGAGGGAAATGAGCTGGGTGTGGGACTCATGCCATTCCAGTGGCTTGGGAGGCTGAGGTAGGAGAATCAAAAGTTCAAGGCCAGCCTCTGCAACTTAGTGAGACCCTGTCTCAAAATAAAAAATAAAAAGGGCTGGGGATATTATTCAGTGGTTAAGCCCCCAAGGCTTCAATCTCTAGTACCCATGAATAAAGAAATGAAAGAGAGAAATAAGTCATTCCACAGTGAAGCCTCTGTGAGGAGGAAGGTGGTGGACAGAGACCAATGCTGCTTTCTGAACAGAGGCAACACTCTGCGCCTCCTGGTGGCCGAATTCTACAAATGTTTCCTATGTAACAGAGGGTCCAGAGCTCTGGGCTAGGGTTTTTTTTTTTTTTTAAATACTGGGGATTGAATGCAGGGGTACTTTACCACCAAGCTACATCTCCAGCCATTTAAAATTTATTTATTTACTTTATGTGTTCTAAATAAATACATGAGAGCAGAATGCATTTAAATTTTTTTAAAAAAATATTTTTTAGTTGTCAATGGAATCTTTTTTTTTTAATATTTTATTTTTTTGGTTTTAGGTGGACACAATATCTTTTTTTTTTTTTTTTAATATTTATTTTTTAGTTTTCGGCAGACACAACATCTTTGTATGTGGTGCTGAGGATTGAACCCGGGCCGCCCGCATGCCAGGCGAGCGCGCTACCGCTTGAGCCACATCCCTAGCCCCAATAGGACACAATATCTTTATTTTTATTTTTATGTGGTGCTGAGAACCAGTGCTTCACGCATGCCAGGTGAGCGCACTACCACTTGAGCCACATCCCCAGGCCCATTATTTTATTTCTTTATCTATTGATATGTGGTGCTAAGGATCAAACCCAGTTCCTCACATAGGCTAGGCAAATGCTCTACCATTGAACTACAACCCCAGCACAGTAGAATGCATTTTGACACATCATACATAAATGGAGCATAACTTCTCTTTCATCTGGCTGTCCATGATGTAGAGTTACACAGATCATGTAATCATATGTGCACATAGGGTAACAATATCCATTCATTCTACTATCCTTCCTACACCCATGCCCCCTCCTCTCCCTACACTCCCTTCTGTCTAGTGCAAAATACTTCCATTATCCCCATCGCCTTATTGTGCCCAGCTGTTTAAATTTTTTTTTTTTTTTTTTAATTTGAGACAGCATCTCAGAAAGTTGCTTAGGGCCTTGCTTATTTATTGAGGTTGGCCTTGAACTTGCAATTCTCTTGCTTTGACCTCCTGAGTCTCTGGGCTTACACAGAGAGTGGAACTTTCATTCCTAACAGTCCATCTGGTCTTCAAAACAAAGCTCTCCTGGGACTGTGAGGGCGTGATCAAGTTACATTTATTGTGGCTGCTGAAAGATTGGTAGATATATATGGATTTGGGAGGGATAGACACGCAGATGTCCTGTTTGCCTTAAACCCAGGACTGTGACCAACAAGGACTGGGGAATTCTGTGGGGGGTGCCTGTGACAGATCATCCTCCGGTGAGCCAAATGGTTCAACGGATGGCATTTCTTCTGTCTGGTGGAGTGGCTTTCTCCTGGTTACGGGGGGAGCCAGTCACCCCTCCTCATAGCACTGCAAATTACAGAAATCCTTGAGTTCCAGCTCATACCCTCAGACCCTCATGGCCATGGCAGGTGGAACCAACTCTCTGAACTTCAGTTTTCCTGTCTTTACAATGGACCTCATGGGGCTGCCAGGAGCAGTGAAGACGACAGACAGACAGCACCTGCCTCGGTGCTCGATGCACAGCAGGTGCTTGACAATTGGCAGCTGTCATGATTATTCTATAGTTATTGTTATCACTATCAAAAGTACAGTTTTGGGGGGCTGAGGTTGTGGCTCAGTGGTTGAGCGCTTGCCTAGGATGTGCAAAAGCCCTGGGTTCCATCCTCAGCGCCACATAAAAATAAATAAAGGTATTGTGTCCAACAACAACTAAAAAATAATTTAAAAAATAAAAAGTACAGTTCTGGGGCTGGGGCTGTGGCTCCGTGGCAGAGTGCTTGCCTGGCATGTGTGAGGCACTGAGTTCCATCCTCAGCACCACATACAAAAATAAGCAAATACAAGAAGTCATGCTGTCCATCTACAACTAAAAGAAAAAAAAAAAAAATTAAAAAAAGAAAAAGTACAGTTCCAATGGTATAACTTTTTTGTTGTTGTTGTATTATAATTTTATTTTATTTTTGGTTCCAGGGATTGAACCCTGGGGTGCTTAACCACTGAGCCACATCCCCAGGTCATTCATTCATATATATATGAGTGTGTGTGTGTGTACACACATGTATACACAGATATTTTTTTCCCCCTGGGGATTAAACCCAGGGCCTTGTGCATGCAAGGCAAGCACTCTATTAACTGAACTATATCCTCAGCCCTATATTTTATTCTGATACAGCGTCTGCTGAGTTTTTAGGGCCTTGATAAGTTGCCAAGGCTGGCTTTGAACTTGAGATTCTCCTGCCTCAGCCTCGAGTGCTGCTGGGATTACAGGCGTTCGCCACGGTGCCCAGCTGCTGCATTATAATTATAGACATCAGTGAGACTCATTGTTACGAATCTGTACATGCTCATGATTTAACAATATAATTTGGTTAATACTGTTCCCCAGTATTTCCCCTCACCCTACCTGGGTTCCCTTCCTCTTACTCTACAGGTCTTTTCATAACAATCACCCCCATCTTTCTTTTTCTTTATCCTCTCTAGTTTCCATATATGAGAGAAAACCTGATCTTTGACTTTTTAAGTTTGGCTTACAAACATGATAATTTCTAATAGTCCCTTCATTTCTAAGTGTTTTCTCACTGGTGAAACAGGGCAAGCCTCTGCTTCACATATCTGTCACGAGATGAAAGAATTGTAAACAGAATTACATACCACATCCTCAGTTATTAGAACTGTTATTACTTCCTACAATGGGAAAGAAGTTGGCTTTTTATTTTTTCCATGTGTTATTCTTTTTAGCTGGCTTCCAATCTTCTGACTTCTGACCCTCTTCAGTTCTGAGCCTGATACTAGGGAAACCAGTAAGGCCACTGGTGCTCACTCTGCTGTCACTCAGCCCAGGTCTGTAGACAAACTGCCTCCAGAGATCAGCGCCTTCAGCAGCCCTGAGTGGGAGTGTGGCTCTGGCCTGGGAATTTGAAATGCTGGTGCCCCAGGGTGAGGCAAGCTGATGATGTGAGGGATGCATGTCTGTGCTTGGAACTATGGACAAGGCCCCTATGTCATATCCCATGGGAACACTGACCAGCACCCACATGTAGAGAGAGACAGGGCTCAAACGCTAGTTTGTACAACAAAGTACACGGGGGCCTACATCTCTATGCATGCAGGTGCTCTCTCTGAGGCTTCTCAGAACAGGGGGCGGTGGAGCAAGGGGACTTTGACAGTTCTAGGACATCTGTAATCCTTGGAAACACTGGGAATGTGTATGCACAAGAGGCGTCAAGTTCTTTTAAGATTGTCATAGGATGGGCTTTTTCCCAGAGTGTATCTTAATCTGTATTAGTCTTTCATTGTACATTTATTCTTTTTTCTTGGCAGTACTGGAATGGGACTGAACCCAAGGGGTTATACATGTTAGGAAAGTGCTCTACCATTGAGCTCATCCCCAGTCTTATTTTGGTAGTTCTTGAGTTATCAACTGGACCAGAGCTCCATGGGGATAGCATTTCTCTCTTTTTATTTTGTACTGGGGATTGAACTGAGAGGTACTTTACCACCACTGAGCCACACCCCAGTCCTTTTCATTTTTTATTTTATTTTGTTTTTTAAAGAGAGAGAGAGAGGGGAGAGAATTTTAATATTTATTTTTTAGTTTTCGGTGGACACAACATCTTTGTTTTGTATGTGGTGCTGAGGATCGAACCCGGCCGCACGCATGCCAGGCGAGCACGCTACCGCTTGAGCCACATCCCCAGCCCTCATTTTTTATTTTGAGACAGGGCTGCTTAGAGCCTTGCTAAGTTGCAGAAGCTGGCCTCAAACTTGTGATCCTCCTGCCTAAGCCTCCAGAGTTGCTGGGATTACAGGTGTGCACCGTAGTGTTTGGCCCTCTATAAGGACAGTTTTGCTTGCTGTTGTCTGCCCAGGGCTCTGCTCAGGGCTTGGCACATGATTCATACTCCAAAATGTGTGCTGAGGTGGAATCCTTCATTAAACCCTGGGCTGACCTTTTTCTCACTCCCTTTCCCAAAGAGTACAGCTGTATTTCACAGTACTCCTCCTTGTTCTAGAGAACCCTTGCACCACAGCCCACGCCCCAGAAGTCACCTGGAATGACGATATCTCCGAGTCCCAGCATAGCAAAGTTGTCTGCTTCAAGGCCCTTCTCCAGCAGGTCCTGGGGAAACACCACTGCAGGGAGAGAGAGGGGAGGAGTTGGCTGGAGCCCAGCTTACCCAGACTCCCCACCCCGACCCCTGCTGTATGAAATGCACACATCTGTGTTTCTCGGGGGCAGGGGGCTGATGATCGCAGGCCTGCTGGCAACAGCTCCATCTGGAATCACAGCTGGTTAGAGTGGGGAGAAATCTGGGGTCAACTAAGCTGAGGGTTTAATGCCTTTGTTGACCACACAGTTCTGACATCCATAGGTTTTCCATCTGACAACAGGAGTGTGGACAGATGGCGGTACTTGTTCTGAAGCAGTGTGAACCTGGGCTATGGACTCTTTATGTACCAAGGGAGAAAAGGCCATGCCACTGCAAATTCTTTGATTAAAGTCCCTTACTTAGAATCCTGCTGCAGCTGTTAGCAGGGAAGTGGTTACAAGTGGGCTTTAGGACCGGCGCCTGGCTCTGCTGTCTTGTTGCACAGGTTACTCGGCTGCCTTAGTTTTCTTACTTGGAAGCACTCCCACGGGGTGGTACTGAGGGTTAGATAACCTGAACCACAGTACTGGCTGCTATGCCATGTCTTCTAACCCGTCCCCGATTTTGTATCTTCCTGGTGGTGGTTTGAATGTGGTGTATGACTATGCCAAAGAGGACAATCCTGTTTCCAGAATTCCTGCCTTTCTTTGTGTCTAGGGGTGTTTACATGGCTCAGCTCTGGGCAACACTATGCACACGGAGGTGCCCTGGGGCTCGTGCTAAAATGCCGAGATATCCCCTGTCTATGTCTCCCTTGTTGAATGGGACTCGAACCCATTTAGTATGACCTTCAGCATATGTGCTGTTTTTTTTGGGTACCAGGACATGAACACTGAGCTACACTGCCAGCCCTATTTTGTATTTTATTTTATTTTTGGTGCTGGGGATTATACCCGTGGTGCTTAAACACTTAAGCCACATCCCCAGCCCTTTTTAAATATTTTATTTGGAGACAGGGTCTCACTGAATTGCTTAGGGCCTCACTAAGTTGCTGAGGTTAGCTTTGAACTAGCAATCCTCCTGCTTCAGTCTCCCGAGCCTCTGGGATTATAGGCTTGTACCACTGTGCTGGGCTTTTGTATTTTATTTAGAGACAGGGTCTCATTGAGTTGCTTAGCGCCTCGCCATTGCTGAGGCTGGCTTTGATCCTCTTGCCTCAGCCTCCCAAGCAGCATCACCGCACCTGGTCCTGCCTCAGCCTCCCAAGCAGCACCACCTTCTGGGTAGCATGTGTGCTTTGCTATTGTTGTTGAAGATGGGGTCTTGCTGTGTTGCTCATGCTGGCCCCGAACTCTTGGGCTAATGTGATTTTCCCGCTTCAGCCTCTGCAATAGTTGGTACTACAGGTGCTATCATGCTTGACCAGCATTAATCATTCAGCTCTTGAGCCTCATTTCTAGAAGACAAGATCTAGGCCAGGTGCAGTGGTACATGCTTATAATTCCAGCTATTTAGGAAGCTAAGGCAGGAGCATTGTTAAGTTCAAGGCTGGCCTGGTAAACTCAGCAAGACCCTGTCTCAAAATAAAAAATAAAAAGGGCTCAGTGGTAGAGCACCTCTGGGTTTGATTCCCAGTACTGCAAAAACAAACAAACCAACAAACTTTAAGACAACAGATCTCCCCAATCTAGAAAATCAGATTCCAAGCACCAGAAACTAAATATGAACGTGTCACTTCCCTGTTCAGAGCCTTACAATGGCTCGTCCACTGCTTAATGGGCAGTGTCAAGTTCTTAGGCAGGAAATCTTGGCTTCTCCAAATCTGGCTTGTCTCCCTCTTTCCAGTCCCTTTCTTGCGGCCCTGCTGAACTCAGTTGCACTTCCTCTGTGCCTCTGTAGTTCTTTGCTCCCAGGGTGTCCCACGCGTTTTCCTGCTTCTAGCCCTTTGCTGAAGTGGTAGACTCTTCTCAAATACCCATGCTACCCTTGAATCCTTGGTAAATGAGCATTTCTTCTTTGAGACCCAGGAAAGGTACTCCTGACATCCTGGCTGGGATCGCCAGGCTCCCCCATCCCTGGGCTCACCTATCGTAGCTTGTGGGGCATGAATTTCATGTGGTTTGTCCAGTATCTGTGTCCTTACTTTAGAGAACAGTCCTCCCTTCCCTGATAAACTTAGTTCTGGAGGCTGCCAAGTCATACTCTGACTCCTGGCCTTGGGGAGGACAGTAAACCAGGCCTGGGGAATGTTGACCACCTTCCTGATACTATCTTCTCCTTCCTTGCTATCTTGTCTGACTGGTTCTGGCCCCCTTTGAGCCTCGTGACCCTGGAGGGTGATTTATGGTTAGTCTAGGGCTGAGACTCCAAGCTAATAGCGCTTTTCCTATCTCCCTTTCTAAAGCCCAATTTGGACTTGGGTCTGTCCAAATCCCAATATTGGTCAATAAAACATGAAGGAGGCTGAAAGGGGGATTTGAGGAGAAAGACTCCTTCCCTGATGGGACACAGTTTCCCCTTTGCGCCTCTGGACGTGGCCTGTGAGAAGCCAATGCCAGGAACTGTCATTCCATCTAGGGACCATGAAGGACTGAGCCAAGTGACAAGTGGACGGAGATTGGTGGGTTGGGTGAACCAAAATAACCCTGGCTCTTGGTGACTCCACTGAGGGTCATTAACCCACCCCTGACATTTCCTAGACCTGGGCTTGCTGTAGTATAACCAAATTTCCCCCTTCTTTAACGCTGCCAATAGTTGGGACTCCCCTAACCCTTTTCTTTTTAGCTGTGTTGGGGATTAAATCCAGGGTCTTGTGCATGCTTGGCAAGTGCTCTATCATTGGGCTACCCCCCTCACCCCCACACCTATTTGGACTCGGGTCTGTCTAAATCCCAATAATGGTCAGTGAAACATGAAGGAGGCTGAAAGGGGGATTTGGGGAGAAATACTTATGAACAATGGTTATGCTGAAGAACAAAACTAAGGCTGTGTAAGATGTGAGATGGGGAATACTGCTCTCAGTTCTCAGCACAGAGGTCTCCTGTTCTGGAAAGCCCCTGTCTGCCCCCCAACAGGCTGTTCCCCACTCCTGCTCATTTACCACTACACTGCATCATTACCAAGCAGCCCAAGGTCAGGGCCTGGGCAGAAGGCTGCTACTCATGAACACAGCCAAGAGAATCCACGAAGAAAAGGAAACCAGGCTGGAGAGACCCATGAGATCTTGGAGGAGGAAAAGGTATGTGAGGAGGAGATAAGGGAGAAGTATTGACCAAAACAGGGACCATAAGCCAACTGGGGAGGGCAGGGTGTGTTCCCCACTGTGGGGTTGATCACTTACATTTTATTGGCGCCTCAAATGACTTGGCCACAGTCACCATAACGTTGGTACCGAACACCTGGAGGAAGAAGAGAGGAGTCTGAAGGGAAGTGAGGGGCTAGATGGGAAAGAACAGTTGTCCTTGGACTTCTGGATGTGCTGCTGCCTGACATGTATGGGGAGTGGGACAGGCGGCTGGCAGGCCCAGAGCAGATCTGAGGTTGAGCAAGGTGGCCACTCATCCTGGTTCTGAGCAACAAAAAGAACTTCAAAGGTGACTGCCCCAGCCAGGTAGCCTGTCTGTTCAGGGTTCTGTCCCTTCTGAGAGATAAAAACCCTGGGCACAACCCACCCCATGGGAGAAGAGACCACCTGGGTCCAGGGAAAGTGTGCTTGAGCTGGGTTGACCTCAGTCCCTCAGTGGGGCCTCATAGAGTGAGTGTGGTAAGTCTTGAAGCCCAGGGCTGGTGTGCAGCCAGAGCACAGCCGGCCTGTCCTCTAGGTCAGGGACCTTGATGGACCCATTCTACCGCCCTTGTCTGAACATCCCTGAGCCTCAACTTGGTTTTTTACAGAGATGTGGGATTAAGTTATGCTTCTGCCAGGGCCATGAGGGTGGGTGAATGTCCCCAGGCACTGAATGCGATCTTACAGTTTGCCCCCGAGAGGACCAGCTCTGGGGTACTGACTTTCATCAGACAACTGCCATTTGGGCCAGAGAGACAGAGGAATAGGGAGGTAGGAGGTTAAAGCTGGAAATCCTCGGTGTCTCTGCTGACTCACCCAGAAGACGTCGTAGATGAAGAGTCCACCCAGCAGGATGCAACCGGTGCTGACGTTGTTCAGGTGCAGAAGTTCCACCCCATTAAGGGAGAAGGCCAGGCCAAAAAGATTGTTGGCAATCCAGTGCTGGGGAAAGGAAGGGGTGAGACCAGATTGCTGTGCCCCCATCACCCCAGCCTCCCTTTTTGCTCAGGTCTAACTACTTACCTTCCGCAGCAGGTACCAGACGCCAACGATGCTGCTCAGGCCCAGGCACACCAGGTCCTTAGTGTCAAACTCATAGTTGACGATCTCTGGGCAGAGAAGCCAGGTAAGTCCACTCCCCAGGGCGGGACTGTCCCTCCCACATGTCAGCCTCTGGACTGAGGAGGGCATGGCTGTGGGCACTGTCAGAGGCCCACAGGCCCAGGGGCTCAGCCGAGGCTGCCCCAGACTGGTGAGAATATTATGATGGGGAGAGCTCACTGGAGCCTCCCCTAGTCCCCCAAATTTTCTAGAGAAGGTTAAAGAGACCTAGAGAGAGTACGGATTTAATACAGGTTCAGTGGGAAGTGGTCCTTGGTGCTGGAAGCACAGGCTCTGCCACTGGTAGCTAGGTAACCTTAGGGAAAAGCAGTTCCCTCTCTGAGCTTCATCTGTGAAAAAAGGCAATAGCACCTCCCTCATAGGGCTGCTATGGGAGTGAGTCTGTCCTTACAATGTCCTTAGCACAGTGCGGGGTACACAGCAAGTACTCAATGCCAGCTGTTACTGGTCTTTAGCAAGGTCCTAGTACATTCTGGAAACTCTACTTTTCTACCAAAGAAATCAAGGTTATTGGCACCCCTAATTCATTAGCAGAGGAAGAAGAAGGAAAGAGATGGAGGACTGGAGAAAAGGCAGGAGGGAGTTCCTGTTGCTGCTCTTGTGGGGAGCCCCCGGTAGACATCCGGATGTCAGACCCATTCTCAGTTGCTTCCAAGCTTCCTAATGAGGAAGCCCAGAGAGGTGGTGAAGGTTGGCCAGGGTCTCAGGGTGCAGTCACTCCTTCCAGATTCAAGTGCAGCAGATTGCTGCTTGTCCCCCAATTTCTGTTTTCTCCTCTGTGGTAAGAGCACCCTAGTTTTTTTGTTTTTGAGGCATCTGTTGAATTTATTCAGCATAACCACAGAGGCATTGTCACCATGCTGTCACAAACAGACACAAAACACAAATACGACACAATATCCATATTTAGCACAAGTGGATTCTTCTAAGGCTCATTTATATGTCTTCATGTGCCACAGGCCATCATTTAAATAATGGATATTTTCAATGCCGATTCCTTTGTTGACTTTCTCGATATCTTCTGCAGACATCTTCATGACTCCGACACACAGAGCGTGCTGTTTTCCTTCTGCCATGACCGCAACAATTGTATCTTCCGCGGCGGGATAAAGCTTTGCGCCAGAAGAAGTTAAACCCGGGCACATGATATTTGCGCCACTGAGCACAAATTTGATGGCTCCTTTATCAACCTGCTGGTGTGGCAGGATGAAAGGGTATTTGTGAAGTAATCTTAAGGTTGGGTAAAAAGGCCCTTTTCTTTGTCTAAAAAATAGTAACTCTCCATTTACCGTAAGGATTTCCATATGCTCATGGCATCGGACTATTTTGACGGGATCTTTCTTCGGCATGATTTGATTAAGCCATGGCTCGATACCTGGAAATTGCTCTATCAGTTGGTTCTTGATGCCCTTAATAACTGAAGTTTTCAACTGGATGCAGTTGGATACATTTTCCTTTTCGTCAAATTTCTTGAACATGATCCAAGGCGAAGGAAGTGGTGCCGACTGGGGTGGGCAGCAACGAGAAAAAATGAGATGCGGCCAATGTCCGATGATCTCCGTGATCCAGGAAGGCCGGTGCGGATGGTAGCGGCCGTTGTCGCTAACCGGAAGACGGGTCAGCCGGCCGCGCTTTACGGCCCCGTAAAATGGACTACTTCCGCTGCTCTGAACCCCACGTCAGCGCTCGGCCGGATGTTCTTCCCACTAGCGATCCATTCCAGTGGGGGCAGCGGAAAGGGCAGGGCGTGGGCAGGAAGGAGTGACGGAGCAGCCGGTCAGGTGGCCGGAAGACTCTAGGGGCGCGGCTGGTGGTTCCTAACTGGACACGCTGCTGATGGTTCCTAACTGGACATGAGGCTGACCCGCTCAGGTCATGTTCTCCACCTTTCTCCAACACCCTCTGTAGCTAAATGAGCCGACGACAGGGATGCCTATCCTTCCCTCTGGCTGCAGTGTGAACTGATGGTAGACATCTCGGACCCAGGGGGGTCACCACTGAGTATGGCAGAGCTTGAGACAGATGGGGCTTGAGACCCTACAGACTCTACGGGGCAAGCTTAGCTTTTTAAAAGAAAACCCCATCAATCATTTATTTGGCACAGATGCACTAGAGATGCAGAGAGGGATCACAACATCGCTGCGCTCTAGGGACAAAGCAGGATACGCTAGGCACCAAGTGATACCTTCTGCAAGCTTAGAATTTCGGGGGACGAGAAAGAAAGAGAAGAGGGAGATCTTCCATTTGGTTAAGCCATTGATGATCTTGCTGTATTTGAACCCAGGCTGTAAATAACCTGTTAATCCCAGCCTCTCTTAAGGTCCCCATGGTTTTCATTAAAACAAACAAACATACAAAAAAAAACAAAACAAAAAACAACCCCCCCCCAAAAAAAAAACTGTGGAGTCTCCTTTTCCAAAATTTTAGGTGTGACCGTAATCACACTAAAAATAGACCCTATAAAATGGTCACAACAGAGGGGTTTTACTGAGTGCTTATGTGAGCCAGGCAGTGTGCTGGGTGCTTTCCACTCATTTATTCCTATTCCTAATAATTGTGCCTATGAGGAAGGTGCTAAATTATCAATTTTACTTCATAAATGGCAGGGGAAAACAAAACAAAAAATCCCCAACAAAATCACCCGGTGCTCAGGGAGGTAAGGCATTCACCTAGAGTCCCATGCCTAGGTGGTGGCAGAGCAGGGATATGAACTAAGCCATGAGATTCCACAGCCAGCCTCTTCCATCACTTATACTACTGAAGAACCCAATATTGGAAAGACAAAGGGGAGTGGAAGGGAAGACACCCAAGACATACCACAGGGAAAGTGGGTGGCACTGACCTTCCTTGTTTTCCCCAGAGCCCTGTGTGAAGAGCAGCTGAAACTGTCGATTTGGGAAGCTGGCTGGAAAAAACTTATTCATGAAGGGGCTGGAAGGAAAGACAAAGCTGGTCGGCAAACACAGCCCCCATGGGCGACCACGGCTCTCATAACCCCCACCAAGACCCATTTAAAGCTCTATCTCCTGGCACCCTCACAGCTGCCCTGCCAGGTTGGTGCTATTGTTCTCACTCTATAGATGAGAAAACCCAAGTTCTTAGAGGGTAACTTGCCCAGGGTCACATAGGGAGATAACGTCTGAGCCGAGATTCAAACCTAGGTGTCTGAACTCTTAGTAACTTCTATATCGCCTCTTTATTTTACCACACACAGATACAGAGTTTAGGCAGACAGACTTTTGTGTAAAACAGTTTTTAGATGAGTCAGGGATTCCCAAGTCTGGCCCACACACCACCTATATGAGAGCCCCTTGTCAAGAAGCTCATTCCTGGGCTCCTTTCTAGACCTACCAAGTCGGATGACCTGATAGTCACCCCACCCCACTCCAGAATTTGCTATCCTACTTTCCAGCAACAGGCTGAGTTTTACAAATACAGCTGGAATTGATCAGCCAGATGAATCATAGCCCCCAGGGCAGGATTACCCCCATATTCACTTCTTCCATGAGGCCTCACTTGTTCAAGACCAGCCTGGCCTCATGATTACCCAGTATGCCCCACTTCCTGGCCAGGCAGGGAACAGATGTTATTTTCCACACCATCTTCGGAGCAAGATAGCCTACAAAGGCCTCTTGGCCCAGCCTGGTCTTGGGATTGGTAATACTGTGGAGCGGCTACCAGCCTTGGCAACCCAGGCCTGAACCCTGCTTTGCCACACACCAGCAGTGTGGTCCTGGGAGAACCACTTCAGTGGCAGAGTCTTCTTGGGCTTCAGTCTCCTCACCTGTACGTAAGATCATAATACTACCTGTCTCAAATGGTTGTGTGACGATAGAAAGCAGGTAGATGAGCGGTTTAGCCCAGCCCTGAGTCTTGCAGCAGGGATGTTGAAGAACTGTGAACTTCTGTCATGGTGCACTCTTCTAGAGCCTCAGCTTGAAAGCATGTGACATCAGATCAAGTTGGTAATGAGGAAGGCAAATCCCAACTAACAAGTAAGCTGAGGAAGGCAGGAGGTGCCCAGGTCACAGTGGTAAAGGCAGGGATAAGGGAGCTCTCTTTTTAATAGCTTGCTGGCTTGAAGAAGGATGTGGATTCAAGAGTCATCTCTGGGCCTGTTTCCCCACTTGCCAAACTGCTGATCCTTCAAAGCCTACCAGGGCTTAGGTGTGAATATGAGAGGCCTTGTAAAAAGTGATGTGGTGGGCACGGCCTGGGGTCAGGAGGCAGCTTCCATAGCACAGTTTTGGGGTGGGAGGCAGAAGCTGGGATGGAGAGACTAGAAGCTACTTTCAGCTCAGTTTGCAGAAATTACTTTTGGGGAAGTCTAAAATCAGGGTGTGTGTGGTAGGTGTGGGTAGGGAGGTGACCTGAGGAGCTAAGACCTTCACCTCTTCTTTGGGACTGGCCTCTTCTTTGGGAGGTTAGTTCTCCACTTGTCAACCAGGAGAGTAGGGATGGTTAAGAACACGGGTGCTGGAGTGACACTTCGTAGATTCAAGTCTCAGTTTTCATAATAGTTGTGTGAACTTCTCTTTCCTCATTGGAAACACTACAACAATAGCTTTCTCATAGAAATATTAAAAGAATTAAGTGAATGCTGGGGATTGAATCCAGGATCTGATTCATGCTAATCAAGTGCTCTACCATTGAGGAATACCACTGGCCCCTTAGACTCAGGTCTTTGTTACTGAGCAAAGATGGGCTGCCGGGCATGGTGGCACATGCCTATAATCCCAGCTATTCGTGATTGAGACAGGAGGATTGAGAGGATTTATTTTAAAAAAATAAAAAGGGCTGGGATGTAGCTCAGTGGTAGAATCCTCCGGGTTCAATCCCAAGTACTGTATAACACAAGGGAAGTCACATGATCTTGCTGGTGTGAGTCTATAAACTTGAGGGTAGGGGCCCAGGTTATCATTTCTGACCCATCCGGGCTAGCCATGGTGTCTGGAGACACGTGGTAAATGCTTGCTGAACAACTCTGAATGCACTTTCGTAGAAGGCACAGATTCTTTCTTGTCTTTGATGGCTCACATTAAACCTAAAGGTCACTGCTTCCTGCTAAGAAACCACATCCTGGTGCCCTTATCTGGGAGTGGAAGGTAAGGGTTAGTGAAACTGATGATGTGGCTTGTTCCTCCTGGGGTGGCAGATTTGGGCCTTCTGTTCTCCCAGAGTTAGCTGCTTGGGATATAAGCTCAGTCAGCGGTGACAAGAAATAAGCCCAAGTTCCCTTGCCAGGAGGATGTCTGGGATTTGGCTAGGGCTTGAGTTTTGGTGACTATAGATGACTGAAGGCAGGCTGTGGTCCCTGCCTTTCCCCAGGACAGGGAGCTGTGGTTTGTTCTTGGAGGCCTGAGATGGGTGGAGGGATCCTGAAGGAAGCACAGCCTGGGCTGCCATGGCTTGGGGCTCAGCTCTGCTCAGTCTTTCCGCAGACCTCTCCTTTCCAACTCTCAGCACAACATAGGTCCGCCCTCCTTAAGCCTCCCTTTCCCTCATTTTTGCCCAAACTGAAGAGAATATTGGCTTTGGAGTCAGACAGACCAGAGCTCAAAACCTAACTCTGCTCTTATCAGCTGCAAATCCTGGTGGTCATACACCCCCTTCTGAGCTCCATTTCCGTCTTGAACTTTTGCACCTTATGAGAGTCCCGAGGAAGCTCATGTGACTTTCTTTGAGGAAAGTATTTAAGAAAATTCAACTTAATTGAAGAACAGTCAATTGAATCTTTGTATCAACTCTCTAAAAAATATGATTAATTGTATTTCCCCTTTTTATTAAAAATTATTTTCAAAAAAATTTCACTGGATTTCTTTTCCATATACATTTTACAATAACATTTTCATTCATTGGACAGTCTTTGGTTCCTATCAGATTTTTCAGTGGACAGTTCTGACCCTGAATGGTGAGCACACTTCTACCCGCAGCCATCCGTTATTTTAAAAGATCTAATTTTCCCAGGTCAAATTTTGTTGCTCTAAGTTTTATTAAGAAAATGATTTTTCTGTTAGTTTCTAGTCATTAACAAATTTTACAATGTGCAGTTTTAGCAAAGCTGATGGTTTTTTCTTTTCTTTTTAGTGGTACTGAGGATTGGATCCAGGGCTTCATGCACTCTACCACTGAGCTATACCCTAGCCCTTTTAAATTTTGAGATAGGATCTTGCCAAGTTGCCGAGGCTAGCCTCGAACTTGCAATCCTCCTGCTCATTCTGAGTAACTGGGATTATAGGCATATGCCACCGCACCTGGCTCTGTTGGTTTTTCTATTGACAATATCCATCACTGACAATAGTGAATTGATTAGAAGACAGAGAAACAATTGTTTCTTGGCTAATCTGTAAGAAATCTGGGACAGTGTCTCTCAGTTACTGTTCTAAACGAAAAAAAAAATGTCTTTGGTGTCAAAATGATAAAGGTTCTAAACACCCTGCTTGGGAAGTTGAATAGAGAAATGACCTTTCTTGCAGGGCTGCTGAGATAAAGTGAAATAATTCCTCAGCACACAGTGTAGCAGTAGCTTTCAAGATATATTGGCTTCCTTCTCTGTGTAGTGATAGTTGGGTTGTGGGGAGAACTGGGGTGTCAAGCCTTTTACAGATGGTAGGGTGGGATGAGCTAGACTTGCAGGGAGGGTCTTCATCAGTGTGGAAAAGAAGGGGACCCTGTGCCTGGAATGATGGCTTCCCACCCGTTCCCCAGGTTCATCATGACTACAGAGGTCTGTCCTGACAATGCTAGGTTCTCTGGACCTTGGTTTTTCAGGATGGGGAATGGGACCAGAGATCTCCCGAGTTGGCTAGAAGCAGAGTTTTTGGGTAAAGGGTCAGTGAAGTAAAGACAATACTGACTTCAGTCTCAAAACCATAGCTGAAGAACCAGCTATGTAACCTTGGGCCAGCTTCTCTACTCCCCGAGTGCTGCCTGGCACTGAGCCCTAGGCAAGCCACACACAGCGTGGCTACTCTGATCCTTCCTGCACCTCTGTGAGGACAGTCTATGGTCTCTATTTTATAGGTGGAAAAACTCATGCTCAGAGACTTGAGTAACTTAAGAAAATTACAAAGCTGGCAGAGCCAGGCCTTGGTCCCAGGGTGCCTCTGGAGCCTACGTTCTGACCGCCACTGTCCTGTCAGCATTCCTGGAGAGTAAGGCCACGCCCAGCTGGGTGTCCATTGTCTACAGAGGCAGAGCTGCTCTTTCTCTTGACTACTCTGGGAACATCCTGACAGTGAACCCTCAATAGGCATGGTCCTTCTGGCTCCTGGCCTGGTCTCTCTTCGGCACCTCTTCCAGTCCTCCTACCCTTGAAATCTTAGTTCAAGTTGACTTCCTTTCTTCTGGGAACTTTTCCTGGTCTGCTGCCACTGCTCAGTCTTACCAATGGTTTTCAGCCTGAAGCTGTACAAGTTCCACTTGTTGAGTGGAACAAGGCTGCCACAGGTCTGCAGTGCACAGGCTAGCCCTGCACAGGGAGAACGCCAATGGGAGTTCCCTGCCCTGAGAACACTGGTTCAGATCACTCACCCACAGAACTGTCATGAGCAGGTGGTCTGAGCAGGGAGGTGGTGGCAGAAAGATGGGTTCTGGGGCCACACAGATCTGAGTTTGAATCCTGGCGCTGTTGCTTATCAGCTGTATCACCAGAACAGTTTTTTTTTTTCCTTTCCTGGTACTGGGATTGAACCTAGTGGTGCTTTACCACTGAGCTATATCCCTAGTCCTTTTTCAGCCTCCTGAGTCACTTGGAATCCAGGTGTGCTTCACCACACCTGGACAGAGCAAAGTTCTTAACCTCTCTGAGCCTCTGTTTCCCTGACTAACCTAGGATTAAAAGAAAGAGCTAAACGCAAGTTTCTCTGGTACGTTAACACAGATAGTAACAAAGTTAACAGTTATTGAACATATTAAGTGCGAGAAACCAAGCTAAAAGCTTTCCACATGACCCCAGAAGGAAGGTGTTATTATCTTCTACCACAATGGTGAGGAAATTGAGGCCAGAGAGATTAAATAACTTGCCCAAGGTCATTGGGTATTAAGTGGCAGAGTCTGGATTTAAAGTCAGGTAGTCAGATTCCAGAGCTTGCCCCCCTAATCTCTCCCCATACTGCTTCTCTCATGAAAAAAGACAATGCCTCAAGATGCTTGGCAGGCCACAGCACCTGGCGTTACTCATCTCAGTACTCTTGACAACACCAGGATGTTACTGCTCACAAATAACCTTCCCAACAACAGTGGCAGTGAGAAACATCCACGGTTACTTTTATAGGTCCCTATAAAGACACTGTAGCCCAGACATGTTACAGTTCTAGTCCTAGGTCACCTTTAGTGACACAAGGGAAAGATTCCCTTGGGTTTTTGGGCCAAACCCGGCTCTGAATGACACCAAAGGTCATGTTCATATCCAAAACCCTGTTCTGGCTCCTGTGAAAGCTGCTTCATATGCTGCAGAGATGCCTTCTGACCTGATGGTGTGGGACAACGCCAGGATTCCCAGCACGAAGAAATACATGGACAGCAAGAGGTTGATGTACTCCTGGGAGAATATCTGAGGCAGAAATACAAAAAGAAACAGGAAGTTAGGATGCCTGTGGCCACAAGGAAACTATATATAGAGTCCCAGCTTCTCTTCTGGAGGTTGGTCTCATGCCCCTGGAGTCAGGGGACAGTTGGGAAGAAACCTCAGACAAAATCAGGGCACTCCTATTTTCTATGGCTGTGAGAAAAAAGGGTGGGACTCCAAGCCCCATCCTGTACCTCCCAAAGGAGTCTAGAGGCATGTGCCCGTGACTGCATTATCTGGAAACAGGCAATTATCGTTTGTGTCCAGAGTCTTGCAGACGCATGGATGGGGAGCCCAAGGCACAGAAATCTGAGAGCTGTTGGAGCTGCAGTACTTGCTCTTCCATATCTCCTCTTCCTGCCCCCAAATCCCAGGAGCCCTTACGGAGTGGCCATTACAGCCACCATCATGCTAGCTGCAAAGTATCTGGGTGCCCTGCCCCACTCTCCATGTCCACTCCACCGATAACTCCTCCTGATAACTGTGGTGGGAGGTTGGGACAGCAGGCCCTGATAGCCGCATCCTGGCCACCTTATCGTCAGGTGAAATAAGACATATTCTCTGTCAAATGTTCTAAACTCAAGTGTCACGTGTTAAGTCTGGGCCTTGGCTATGTCATGTTCCTCCACACTTGCTGTATCCTTGCTGAATTTGCTACTGTGATGGTCTAACTGCGAGGGAATGATGTGCTCATCTGCAAGGGCAGGGACACTGACCCTCTGCTCTCAAGTAAGGCTGTGATGGAATGTGTTTAAATGCCAACTTGATCACAGCAGTCCCCTGGTTAAATCCTTGCAGTGGCTTCCCAATGTTCCCAGAAGCTGGAGGCCCACACCCTTGCACTGGCCTCTCCTGGTGACCACTGTGGACCTCACCGCTCCTCTTCTATGTGCCCCAGTCACACTGGCTTTTGCAGTGTGATGGCTGTGTTACACCACCACCCACAGGTCACTTGGGCATGTACTCCTGGGCTGCTCTCTTTTCCCTTCACCTCGCTAGCCCTATTCATCCTTCCTCAGCCCAAGTTTTCCTTAGGTAGTCCCCCCAGTAATTCTGTGGACATTTACTGGTTTACCACGCTGGGCAGGACATTGTGCTGAACACTAGGAATATAGCTAGCAATAAGGTGAAGTGCCTGCTTGGAGTTCACCTGCCAGCAAGGGAGAAAGAATCTCAAAAGAAACAATGATCTATAAAGTACTGTTAGGTGTGCTGGCGCTAAGGAAAGCAAAGCAGGGCAAGGGTTTAAGCAAAGGGGCTGTTATAGTTTGGATATTAAGTGTCCCCCTGAGAAGCTCATGGTGGTGTAAACATGATACCCAATGCAGCAATGTTCAGAGGTGGAATGATTAGTTTATGAGAGCTATAACCTCATCAATGGGTTAATCCATTCGATGGATCAATTTGAGTGGAATACTGGGTAGCAACTGTGTGGGGAGTGGGGCTGGAGGAAGCAGCTCACTGGGGATGTACCCTGGGGATTATATTTTCTCACTGGCTCTCTGTGCTCTCTCCATTCCTGGTTGCCGTGTGCCCTGCTGCCATGATGTTCTGCCTCACCTCAGGTCCAGAGCAATGGAGTTGGCTGACCATGGACTGAACCTCTGAAAATGTGAGACCCAAATAAACTTCTCTTCCTCTAAGTTATCTTGTTGGGTATTTTGGTCACAGTGATGAAAAACTGACTGAAATAGGGTGAGAGCTGCTACTTCAGACAGTGGCCATGGAAAGCCTTCAGAAGGGAGGACACTAGAATAGAACCCTCAGAGCGGGAGGAGGCTGTGGAGATGCTCAGGGAAGAGCACCCGAGGCAGAGGGAAGGGCAGGTAAAAAGATCCTGAGGTGGGTGCTTGTTTGTGTGTGTAGGGAACAGTAAGGGCCTGTAAGCCTGGGGCAAGGGAACAAGGGAGCGTCAGGAGGTGAGGCTAGGGAGATAGGAGGGAGCCAGACCCTGCGGTACCATGAAAGATTTCAGATTCACCTAAGTGAGATCGGTCAGCACTGGAGGGCTTTTGCAGTGTGATGGCTGTGCCACATTACCACCCACAGGTCACTTGGGCATGTGCTGGGACATGATCTGATGGTCTGACAGGATTCCTCTGTTGCTATGCAGAACAGAGACCCTGAAGGACAGGAGTGGAAGCAGAGAGCCCAGTGGGTGAGGAGGGCCCTGCAAATCCAGCAAAGGGAATACAGTGACCTGCATTGGGGGACGTGGAGTAAAGTGATGAACAGCAAAAGACTCCAAATCTGTTCTGGAATCAGGATCGCAAGAAGTGCACAGGGACTGGATATGAAGGATGAGAGGAGCAGGGACAAGGACTCCTGGGGTTTTTGGCCAAGCAGCTAGGTGGACAGAGGTGCTCTTGTCTTAGATGGAGGTTTGGGCAGGAGCAGGGTTCACCCTAGGCGGGTTCTTCTGTGCTTTCCTGCCTCTGGGGACCTTGTCTTTACACCCCTTCTCAGAGGTTTAACTTCATATTTCTCTATGTCACTGGTGTCTGTCTCCACTACTCAACAAGATGCTCCTTGAAGGCAGGGGGGGTTGACTTTTTTCTTGCTACGGTGGTGTCCCAGGCACAGGGCCCAATGTAGCAGGCACTCAATAAATGCAGAAGGACTGAGCGGATGAGCAGTCCAGTGCCAGGCAGCATGAGTACTACTGTAGAGGAGGTACCTGGATTAGGCCTCATCTGTGGAGATGTTCTGTGCCTCACGCAGTGTTCGTCCAATGTGGGCTCCGAGGAAAAAAGCTTGCTCAGGCCACACTCGTGAGCTGGCTACTTTGACTGTGTGGCTATGGGAATTGAGCACTAAGATGCACTTTGCTTTGTGCTTTGGCTGCCAGAAAGTTAGAGCCATAACTGTGGTCCATTTCTGGCAAGAATACAAGTCTTTAAGCCACAGGGTCTGGGTAATGTCCTCACCCAAGACTTGTTTTTTCCTATTTCAACTTTTTTCTTCACCCCTTTGTTTTTCTCATGCCATTGGATTTTATTTTTATAAGCTGCCTAAAAGCAATTGGGTAAATGAGAGGAGATCAAGTAAATGCTATCATGTTGAGAAATGCTGTTGTGTTTTCAAACTTCATATTTTCCTAATGCTTCAACATCCCCACACACAGGCAGTGAGCACCCCACCCAGGTAACAGAGGCAGCAGTGTGATAAGGCTGGTCCCTACACAAGTTCCCCTTACTTCCCTCCCCAGACTGTGCCCTCGTGACATTTAAACACACCAATGACAATGATCCCCTCATGCCTGTGTTCTCTGCACTGATCTCCAGTGCAGGCACCTGCCCAGGGGTCCTTCTTCTCACCTGCACAGTTAAATCTGCTCCCTGGGACTTCTCCCCCATGGGTCCCTGTGTGCTGTGTGGTGCCTCCTTCTCTAGGGCTTCTGAGTATAATAGATCCTGTACTTCCACTCGCCTCTCTGAGCATTGAGTTCCTTGGCTGTGTTGGAATGATCCTTAAAGACTCTGCAAGGGGGAGTTCCCCATTTATCACACAGTTGGGGACAAGAGGGAACATTCTAAACCAGGCAGTAAGTCCTTCAGAAAGGCATATGAAATGAAAGGATCTACTACACTCACAGATTGGAGAGAGGGAGACTCTTGGGCAAGTGCCTTTATGGGGTCAAGGTAGAGCACACAAACAAAAGACTGGAGGGGATTTCCCTGGTATGTCTGAATATCTCGACATCAAGGTCAGGGGGGAGGGCTGGAGTGGGAAGTGGTGACAGAGACCAGCCTTAACTACACCTGGTCACCTGGACAGGATGCTTTGAGCTTGACTATGGGGATGCTGTCATTTCAGGAAAAATTCTAATGTCTAATGCAGTTTCAAATGCCAGTACAGCAATGAGAAGTGGGAGGAAGAAGTGGAGTAAGAGCCCTGTGGTAGGTGCTTCTGCTGTTAAACCAACCAGCCAACTAGCTATCAGGTTGAGATTCCTGAGGAGCCTGGTGGCTGCCCTGTCCGCAACTGCCTTTCAGAAATCTCCCCGTGGACACTGCAGAGGCAGGGGGTAGAGGTGGGACTGTGAAAGGGAGCTTCCCGCCCAGAGAGGAGGGTAGGCTGAGCAATGGCAGTCCTGCCTTAAAAAATGGTTCACACCCTCGGCTGTCAGATACTCCTTTTGGAGGGATCTGGCCTAAGGAAAGAATCCTAAATCCTAAATATATTAGGCGGTCTTGAGGCAAGGGACTTGGTGTCTTCCTGAACTGAGCACAACAGAGACTTGAGAAATCTGCCAAAAGCAAAGTCAGAAGCAACAGGCCCGCTGTGCCCAGAGCCACAGAGATCTCTGAGGCAGAGGGAGAGGAAAGGAAGCAGAGGGAGACACACTGCACAGCTCTACTTACAGCAGCTCGACTCACTCAGACACAAACACACCACACATTAGACACACTAGAGCAGGCACTTCTGGTGGAGACGGAGATGAAGGTGGGAAATGGAGGCGGACATTAGGGGTGAAGTAGGGGAACAAACAAGATGGGGCACCTGAGGGTGGTATGCCGTGAACCAAGGCATTTGATAAGATATTCACCTGAGATCCAGGAAAAAAAAAAGGGGCGGGGTGGGGGGAATCAGCAAATAGCCAATGCTCTTTGGTACATCCTTATTTTTCAGAATAAAAATCAGAATGACATTTTCTGTTTGAAGTGATGGGGGTATTGTAAGTCAACTGTGATGTATCTGCCTGTAGGCATATTCTGAAACCGTTAAAAACAGTAGTTATGATTGAACAATGAGATAGTGATGCAACAGGAAACAGGAATGAAAAATTAGGCATTTGCTTCATTTACAGAATAGCAAAACCCAAAAACGTGAATGCTACCTAACGCAGTGGACAGCACAGGGAAGCTAGCACGCTTGTAACTGCCAGTAGGAGTGGAAAACTGCCCCTTTGGAGGGCAATTTGGTACTCTCTCTCTAATTATAAAACAAGCCTCTGCTTGACCTGGGAATACTGCAGACATACTTGAAGAAAATTCGTGCATGTGCCAAATACTTCATGCCAAAATATGTGCAGGAAGACGTTCATAGCAGCACTACTCTGATATTCTAACAGTGGACACACATCCTAAGGGGTATATCATATAACAGAACCACGGGCAGCTTAAAAAGAATCAGGTGGATTGGACTGTGTTGATATAAAAATACTTTCATGGTAAGAGCTATAGATTTGATAAATATACTAAAAATATTTTAAAAAATATAATCCTAGATCTATGCATAACAGAGCCACAATAAACTAATATTGAGGAGAGGATTATGGCTCATTTGTATTTTCTTCCCTCAAGCTGAAATTCTTTTTTTCTTTAAGGTGCCGAGGATAAAACAAACCTAGGCCTTGGGCATGTTAGGCAAGCACTCTACCAGTGAGCCCACCTCCAGCCCCAGAAAATAGTACAATTATATATATTAAAAAAAAAAAAAGTTTCAAGGAGAGTTTGCAGTAACATGAGAAAATGCTCATGATGTTATCAATGTGAGGTGAGAAAAGCAGCTACAGACTGAATACACCACGTGGTCACAGCCATGGAGAAACCATGCACGGGAAGAACGCGGAAGGACACACCTCCAAAGGGAAACTGTGACTGTCTCTGGAAGTGGGGTTTTGGATGATTGCTGTTTCCCCCTTTTTACTTTTCTGTGTATTCCAGGTTTGCAACACTGAGCCTGTGTAACTTTTATTGGGAAAATAAACCTCGATAAATTAAAAAAAAAAAAAAGGCGATTAGTATGGTAGAGGTAATGTCAGAGACACAAGCTATACCCCAGCCCAACACATACAGTACAATAAAACCAAATTGGTATCATGAAACAGAACAAAAAAACTACATGGAGAAAAGAAATAGACTGGCAGGAAAGGTCCCAAACATGGACAATAGCTGTCTCTGGGTAGTGGGTCTACACGTAAATCTTTAATTTCTCCCTGCTCTTTATTTTCTAGAATCAAACATGCATGGCTCCTGTGATGAGAAAAATAAAACAAAAGAAAATAAAGTTATTTAAACCAAATGACAACACAGGTGGCAAACAACTTACTTTGAAAAAGAGGTAGAGCCCCAAGAGTGTGCAGCTGGCGATGATGGGGAAGCGGGCGGCATCCCGGCTGGTGATGGTTTCAGGCATGTCCGAGGCATTCTGGAGGAGAGAAGAGAGGCAGCACTGAGTGGAGCTCTGGTCTGTCTGTCCTCTGTGGCTGGCTGCTGATGGAATTCGGTGTTCCAACAACTCATCTGGTGCCCTCAAGGCTTTTGCTTATGCTAGTCCTGCTGCCAGGGAGGCTGCCTGACTCCCCCTGGGCAAGATAATCTGATCCCCTCATTTTCCCATTGAGGACATCTGGACTGTGGGGAAGACCATCCAGAAGAACCCAGGGCATGTGTGGCATGTCTGAGGAGAAGAGCTATGGCAGAGGCAGTTAAAGCATGTGACAACTGAGAAGGGATAGGGGGTTAGAAGAGAGAGAGAGAGGAAAAAAAAAAAAGGAAACAGGGCTGGGGATACAGCGCTTGCCTAGCGTGCAGGAGGCCCTGGGTTCAATCCCCAGCACCACAAAGGTGTGGGGTGGGGGGAACCCAAAAAATGAACCACTGGAAGAACTGAATATGGTTAAAAAAAACACACAAAAAAAACACTATTACATTTATAAACGGCAGATGCTACTGTTGGCAAGAATGTGATGTAGGCAAAGGGACCGCTGAATGATATTTACATGAAAAATAACTGAATGCAATCAAACTGACAGTGGAGTAACAGTGTAACATAGGATTTAAATTAGCTTCATAGAATTAATGCCAAAAGACTTTTCCTCACCGTCCTCAAAGGCCCAGCAAACACTTGCTGCCATGAAGCCCTTCCAGATTCCCCCACTGGGATAAGCCAACCCCCAACTATTTCATATCATAACCACCAAAATCCTAGCAAAGGCAAAACAGACACCCATGCCAAGGTGAAATTCTTTCCATAGCAGCCATAGGCTCTTCACAGTGTTCAGTATTCCACCGTTACCATGTCCATCTCGTGAAGAAGGCACCAGCATTCCTGGGAAAAGGGATGCCATTCAGCTGTGGAATCTTGCCAAGACTTTGGCTCAGTGCTGGCTCTTAAAAACCAACAGGAGGGCTGGGTTTGTGGCTCAGTGGCAGAGAGCTTGCTTTGCACATGTGAGGCACTGGGTTCGATCCTCAGCACCACATAAAAATACGTAAACAAAATAGAGATATTGTGTTCATCTATAACTAAAAAATAATAAAAAAATATATATACATGTTAAAAAAAAAAAAAAAACCCACAATAGGAAAAGTTGCACTGAGAGGGGAGCTACTGGAGGGGGATTCTGGCTCAAGGAGGTTCTTCTGCCCCAAGGTGGAAGACTGCAGAAGGGGAATGAGATGGGAGTACAGGGTAGCAGCCCAGGAAACCATCACTAGGAGAGGTGTGTTGCATCATTGGCTTGAGTACACACCTATCCAGCCTTTTGGGGAGGGCAATCTGGCAGAATATGTCAAATCATAATTTGCACATGCCCAAGGAAATAAAAAGATTCACAGACAGGAACTACAAATGACTTTTTAATCATAGAAAAAAAAAAAGTTCATTTTTCACTTTTTTCCACCCCCTGAAGTGCTGGGGATCAAACCTAGGACCACACACATGCTAGGAAAGCTCTCTACCACTGAGCTACATTCCCAGCCCTTCACTCTTGAATTTGAGATTCTCCTGCTTCAGCCTCCAGAGCTGCTGGGGTTACAGGTGAGCATCACTATGCCCAGCTCCCACCTCTCCCTCTCAATAAGAGAACCTGAAATTGAAGTACACTGACATTCCATTTTTCCTCATAATGGAAAAAAATCCACATTTTTGGTCTTCTGTAGAGATGACTTGGCAACACATGTCAAAACCAAACCACAAATGCGCGGACCCTTTAATCAAGCAAATATATTTCTGAGAATTTTTTTTACAGATGAAACTCTTATACCAGCAAAATGATGCCTATGAAGTACATCCAAGGTATTCCTGGCTGTTAATCGGTTGCTGGTGACTGAAGCAAGTCATCTGCATTCTGAGTACCAATTTGCTCATCTGTCAAACAGGAGGACACCCTCTTAACTTACTTCAAAAAAGAGCAAAGAGGCTTAAACCAAATGAGATGTGTAATGCCAAAGAGGTGGGCAAACTGTAAAGTACTGTGATCACAGGAGGCTGTGATTACTAGCGAAAGGTGAGTGAGGAGCCCCTTTGCAAACTGCTGTGTGTAGGCTGGGCAGCAGGCCCTCCCCTCTGGAGAGGGGAGCTCTGTGTGAATCACTCTCCAGCAGCTTCACTGGTGGGGGTGGGGAGGGTGAGCAATACCATTACCTAGAGGCCCAGTTTCCTTCCTTCCCTCTTTTCTACCAGGCTTTTTTTTTTTTTTTTTTAATTTCTTTCTTTCCTAGTTTTTGGTGGTACTGGGGATTGAGCCCAGGGCTTTACATATGCTAGGCAAGTGTTTCACCAATGAGTTACACTCCAAGCCCTTTTATTTTAGTTTTTTTTTTTTTTTTTTGGTACTGGGGATTGAACCCAGGGTTGCTTAATCATTGAGCCACATTCCAGGGTCTTTTTTTATGTTTTATTTTGAGAGAGGGTCTCACCAAGTCCTTAGGGCCTCACTAATTTGCTGAGGCTGGCCTTGAACTTGCAATTCTATTGCCTCAGCCTCCCAAATTGCTGGGATTACAGGCATGTGTCACCACGCCCAGCCCTTTTATTTTATTTTTAGGCAGAATCTCTAGGTGCCCTGGCTGGCCTTGAACTTGTGGACCTGCTGCCTCAGCTTCAGAGCAGCTGGGATTACATGCATGAGACACACCATACCTGGCTTAATTTCTGCTTTTTTGGCAGCAGTTTGTGGTGGGACTTGGGCAAATGCCTCAGCCTCTCTGTGCACCTCCACAAATTGAATAGATTCCTTTGTGACAGCAGAGTAGGTACAAAATAAACCAGACAGCTCCTGACCTTGGAGTTCCCAGGAAGACAGGCCAAGACCTTGACAGGTAAATAGTACAGTGACATAAAACAAAACAAACATGTATACTGATGTGTGATGTGATTCATGGTATGAGTGCAAAGTGGTTAAAGGAGGGCTGAGGTCAGAAGTCCCACCAGGACTCCAACTGCACTCCTTCCCAGCTGTGGGACCTTGGAAGGTGATTTTTCTCTCAGAGCCTCAATTCCTCAGTTGTAAAATGAGTTGTGAGGATTCCCATTTCTGCATAGGAAGTACTTGAGTAATCATTCAAGTTGTATACACTATTTTTAAAAAAAATTTTTTTTTTTTTAAGTTGTGGATGGACACAATATTTTTATTTATATATTTTTATGTGGTGCTGAGGATTGAACCTAGTGCCTCACTCATGCAAGGCAAGTGCTCTGCCAATGAGCTACAACCCCAGCCCCAAGCTGCATACACTATTCATATCACTTTTATGAATGAGGGAATCATGAGTATACAGGGAAATAAAGGAGTGTCAGTGGTGCCAGAGCAGATGCAGCTTGAAAGCTAGGTATGCAGTAGAACTGACTGAGTTGAGGAGTTTGCTTTGTGCACAAGGAAATGAAGCACTTATCAAGCAGAGACCTGCATATACAGAGGCCCAGGGCTGGGAAATACACAAGGGCTTTTGTAACTTCACCTATAAACCACTGTTAAGGCTCATCTTCACAGATTCCTTCCAATTCAGCCAATACCTGGAGAGGAAGAGGCTTAACGTTATTTGATGACAAACTAAGGTGTGCAGATGCTCCACCTATCAGAGAAATCTGGTCTCCTCTGTGGGTGACTGTTATAAATATCTCATGCTGCAATGGTGAGTCAGAATGGGAGACATCAAATCTGACCAGCAATATTACTAATAAGGATAACGTTTATTGAGAACTTTCGGTGTGCCAAGCGGTGTTTTACATGACCTCATCCTCACAAAACAGGTACATTTTACAAGTGAGGAAAATTTGCTTAGTGTAACACAGATGGCAGGCAGCAGAGCCAGGATTCAAACTGTGGTGGTCTGTTTCTAGAACCCAGGCTCTTGGCTACCATTTACTAGACGACCTCTCTCTTTCCTCTCTGGAAAAGCCTGCTGGAAAGTTGTGATAAGAAGCAGCTCAGGAAGCCTGTGACCTTCCTAAGGAACAGAATCCTGAAGGTAAAAATTAGCTAATCCTTTCTGCCCTTTTTTCTTGTGGTACAAAGGATTGAACCCAGGGGTACTCTACCCCTGAGCTACATTCCAGCCCCTTTTAAAGTTTCATTTTGAGACAAGGTCTGGCTAATAATGGGAAATAATAAATATATAAAGATATTAATTTCAGCATGGTTTGTAACAGCCAAAGACTCAAACAACCTAGATGACCACAGACCTCCTAAGCCAATGTTCTCCAATTTGGGTGTGTATCAGAATCATGGGGGTGGGGGGGAAGCTCTGTTAAAACACCCCCTGTTGGGCCCACCTTGAGTTTCTAATTCTGAATCTTATTTCTCACAAGATCCCAGGTGATGCTGGTGCTGCAGGTCCAGGGACTACCCTTTGAGACCAGTGCTATAAACAAAATGAGAGGTGCAGGTGGGATACCACAGCTGTTAAAGAAGAACATGAAACTGGATGTGGTGGTGCACGCCTGTAATCCCAGCAATTTGAGGCTGAGGCAGGATTGTAAATTCAAGGCTAGCCTCAGCAACTCAGCCTCTCAACTCAGATTTGAGACCCTGTCTCAAAAAGAAAATAAAAAAGTCTGGGATGTAGCTCAGTGGTAAAGTGTTCCAGGGTTCAATCCTCAGCACAACAAAAACAATAATAATAACAACAGCAAAAAAAAAAAAAAAAGAGAGAGAGAGAGAGAACATGACCATAACATACTGACATGATTAGATCTCCAAAATATATTCAGTGAAGAAAGCAAGGTGCAGAAAAGACTGCACACATAATAAAATATAACAGTTACATAACAAAATGGGGACACATGCTTACTTACTGTACAGTCTCCCTGGAAGGATATTTAAGAAACAGGTGACAGGGGCTGCTTCTAGGGAGGGAAACTGGGCAGCTGGGGTGGAAGGAAACTCATTGTGCACCTCTGGATATCTTCTAAATTTTGTACCAGGGACAAACATTATCTGCCCTTCCTAACATGAAAGGATGAGGTAGATCTGATGTAGAAAAATGACTAACATATACTGATAAAGAAAAAGAAATCAAATTGCAAAGCAATACTTATAATGCCGTTGTTATAAAAATAAACCTACCATGTATATATACACAAGCACATACTTATGTTTGAATATACACAGAGAAAGTTCTTGGAGGTGGGCTGGGGAGGTAGCTTAGTGGTAGTGCATGTACTTAGCAAATTCCAGGCCTTAGTTTCCTTCCCCAGCACCATAAATAAAAATAAATAAATAAATAAATAAAAATGCTCTGGAAGGTTACACTTCAAACAGCTAAGTGGGCTACTTCCAAGGAATAGTACTGAGGAAGCTTTTCCATTATGTTTCTGTACTGCTTGAGGGTTTTTTTTTTTTTTTTTTTAAAACAAGTTTATAGTTATTTTTGTCACTACCAAGTTTAAGCACTGCCATGGGATTCTGATCCTCAGAAAGGCTATGTTCCCTGGGTATCTTGTCTTGGCATCCACGTCCCTCTCCTGGCCTCAGGTCACACTTTTCATTGTCCCTGCTCTGTCTACTGAATTCTCACCTACTTCTGTAAAGTCAACTGCAGCCTCCCCTAGGAGACACATGAGGGCTCAATCTAGTTGACTCAGCACACACCTGTGCATTAATGGTGACTGAGGTCTGTGAGGAAGGCTCGGCACTCCTGCGACCTGGTTCAGAGCAGATGCCTTGTCCTGTTAGTTGAGGGGCTGCTTTGTTCTACAGGCCAAGGCTGCTGAACCAGCTGCTTGGACAGAATTTGCTCCCCTCAGGAACACAGGTCTTGGACAGGGGCGTGCACAGCCCTTCTCTGCAAACCCTGCAGTTGCTGGTATTACCGTCACAGACCCTTGTAGGCCACTTCTTCACAGCACTCCTGCATCTCCACCTTCTTCCTGGGATTTCACAGTGTGCCCTGGACACACAGACCCCAGGGCAAGTCTGTCTTCATATGTCCTCTCTTAGGTGGCTTTATGATCTAACATGAGTGGAAACCCAAAACTCTTGGGCCCCCACACTAACTCTTCTCCCTCCTTGCCAAATGACCAAGGAAATGATGCAGGGTGAAAAAGTGACTCTCCCCAGGCCAAAATGCTACTTGTGTGAGACTTTAGAGGCACCTGTATCCAAAGATAGTGTCCTGATCTGAGACTAGGCACACCTGGTTCTGCCCCTATGAGGTACAGTGATCTTAACAAGTCATTCTTTTGACCCTTGATTTTTCTGTACAGTGGGAATAAAACTAGCTCTATCTGCCACACTGAGGTCTCTGAGTATTGAAGTGGGTAAAGATTTTATAACTTTAGAGCATCCTGGTTATTGGAGGGAGAGGCCATCAGTGAATGGTCAGGCCCCATTTGTAAATTTCATAGTTTTCCAGCCCTGCAGGAGATGTTTTGGAGAGGCAATTAGACAAAAGCACTTTAATCCACACTCTCCGCTCCAGCCACACCAGACCTTCTGTGCTTCTGTAACTGCTTTGTCTCTTCCAGGCTTCCTACCTCTCACTTTCCTCTGTTAGAATGCCCTCTCCTGGCTGGAATTCTACCTCTCTATCAATGCTTGGGCCTCCCTCCACACAAAGCCTCCATGCCCTGCTCCAGACATGCGTGCACAGCCTTTCTCTTTCTCTGCAAACCCTGCGGTTGCTGGTATTACCGTCACAGACCTAGTTGTCCTTCCCTCATCCACACTCCTGAACTCCTTGGTGACACTGCTCGACCTACACATCCCTGCAGCATCGCTCCACTGTAGACAATGGCAGAAGTTCGGGAAACACTGTTTCCTGGAGGTGTTTTTGGAAGAGACGAGCGATCCCTGTGCAGAAGGTGCTAAGGAGAAGTGTTCAGACAGTTTGGGAGCTACTCAGATCAAGCTGCTCAGCCTCCTGCCACACTGCCCTTTGGGTCCTTTGTCTTGGTCTATTTCTGAACTTCTCTCTGTACCAAGGGTTTGCTAACAGGCCTGGTATTGAGGATAAGGCCACCTGAACTCTGCTTAGCAAAGGCAGAATAGAAAGAAAAACAGGGTCACACTGAGTCTCTCAACCTAAGCCCTAACAGTTCTCCTTTGCATCTGACCACAGAGAGCCAGTGGTGGGTTCTCTGTTCTTGGGAAAAAAGGCGGCAGCCTTCAGTCACTGCTTAAATTGGGCAGTGTTTTGAGAACCTGAGCCAGAGCAGTTTCAAAAGTGGCAGCTCCTTTGTGGGCCTGCTTCCGCTTGGGTCCATCTTCAGGTCTGGTGGGGGAGGAGCAGTGGGGATGCTTGTAGATTAAGAGGCTGTTAAGGAGGAGAGAGGGTGCCAGGAAGTCAGAAGCCATTGATTCCAGGGACTAGAGAGGGCTTAATATAGGGAAGAAGTGGGGGTGGGGAGGGTGGGAGAGAGGAAGGAAGGAGGAGGAAAGTGCTAGAGTCCTCTTGGGTATCCAATGGGACCAATATTAAGGAAGGCCAAGAACTGGCCAGTTCCTCAGCAGGTAGGCCCAACTGGATGGAGGGACTGTCTTAGGGGAGATGGGGAGACAGGGAGAAAGGATGCTTTGAGGTAGGGTCAGGGGCTGGGTGGGAACAGAGTAAAAGGACTGGGTTTTAGATAAAGACAAATTTGAGTGGTAGTTAGAGGAAGCCAACAAAAGAAGTGGTCTAAGCCTGGTTAAAAAGTAGAGGCATCAAGGTGCCAGGTCTGAAGAGCTGGCTGGAACTGGTTCCAGAAAGTAAAGCAATAGTCTAGATGCTAAAATGGAGCTATTTCCTGGGTTCATTTTTTCATGGCAGGGGCTAGGGCCTGGTCGGAGAGCTTCATGTAAGTGCCCACATGATATTATTTCATTGAGAAAGGAGACAGAGCCTAGATATGGGTCTGGATGCTAGAATTAGCCCTGGGGTGGGTAAGGCAGGGCTCCTGATAGAGGGATGACTAGAGATGGTACCACTTAATCCTCAGGACTATTACTACTCATTAGGTACAGATTGGGGTTGACCCAGAGCCCTGGATGGGGTGACTGTTCCAGCTGGGATGAGTATATGTTGCTGCTGACTAGCGACAACAGAAGATGGGGCTGGGCCCAGAGCGAACAATCAGCGCCGGAGCGGCGGTGTGAGGGTCGGCTGACCGTGGCTGCCGCATGATGCAGACAGAGAGGGATGTGTCAGGATCTAAGCAGGGGGAGAAATCAGCTCCCCTCTGAGGAAGGTTGGGTAGAGGGTCGGTGCCCAGATCCGAGGACGCCGCCAAAGGCCAGCCCCGGAATGTGGGCGCGGGTGGAAGGGACGGTGGTGATAAACCCTGGGGCCGGTTAGTGACCCCGGCGAGGAGTTCCTCCAAGAAAGGGTCGGATGGGAAGGGTCCATGCCAGCCATGAGGGTGGGAAGGCCCGGATTAGCTGCCGAACCTACCTTGCCGCGGGCACAGCGCACCGAGCGCAGGGCGCCAAAGAAGATGGGCAGCAGCGCCATGAGCAGGAGGCTGCCGTAGGCCAGCGCGATGCCCTCGGGCGTGGAGGGCGGCCGCGTCGTGCCGTTGGCTGGGCCGCCTGACTCGGCGCTGCCGTTGTGCGGGTCGCTGAGGGCCGAGTCCATGGCGAGGCTGCGCTCGGGCTCTCACTCCAGCTCCGGCCGCTGCAGCAGGAACGCAGACGGAGGGACGGGCGCTGCGGGGAAAGCCACGTTCCCCTAAAGAAACAGGAAGTGACGTGCCCCGCTAGCCGTTCGGCGCCGCGCGCGCGCCCCGACGCCCACGCGCGCGCGCCCTCGTCTCCCCGCCCGCTCGCCCTCTAGCGGCGGCGGCCGGCTCAGAGGCCGGTTGCTGAGCAACCGGATGGCGGCGGGGAAGGGAACGCTGGACCACTGCAGTCCTCGTCCATCCTGAGAGAGACCTAAGCACTCATTTCCTAGTTCCAGTGGATTTCTTCAATCCCACACTGTTCTGTTCTCCACAAACCTTCGTCTCCAACTAAAAAACTTGTTTATTTATGTGTGCATTCATCCAATATTCCGTTGTTTATTAATTTCTTAAATATTTACTGGGTCCCACAAAATGCCAGACACTCTCCTAGGATCTGGAGACACTGATGGGAACAATACAGGCAAAAGCTCGTCCCTATTATCATGAATCTTGCATTTTAGTGAAGTGGTGTGTGTGTGTGTGTGTGTGTGTGTGTGTGTTAGTGTTAGGAAGAGAAGAAGTGAAATAAATAAAATAGAAAGTCTGAAATATAACCTTTGAAGATGGAGCTGGGTGAGGCCCTCGCCTGTAATCCCAGCGGCTTGGGAGGCTGAAGTAGGAGGATTCGCGAGTTCAAAGACAGCCTCAGTAACCTAGCGGCACCCTGTCTCTAAATAAAATATAAAAAGGCTGCGGATGGAGCTTGGTGGTTAAGACCCTCTGGGTTCAGTACCTGGTACCAAGTAAATAAATAAACAAAGATGCCATGTATAATTATGTATGGTAGCATGTAAATGCAGATAAATAATCTGGAGAAAAATAAAGTAAAAATGAGAGTGGGTAGGGCTTTCCAATGTATTAAGTACCTACCATGTGCTAGGAAATAATAATCCCCTACAGTTTATAAGCTTATATAGTTCAAAGCATCATGGCTCTTATCACAATTAGAAGAAATTACTTATTTAAGTTATTTTTAATAGTGGTTCTTAAAATAGAAAATATATGCTCGAAGTGAAAATTCAAAAGTACACAAAGATAAGAAAGACTCCTTCCCTTTTTTAGGTTCCTGCCTTACCTTCCTGAAGGCAATGGGCCTTAATAGTCTCTTGTGTATCATTCTAGAACCGTTCTGTGCATTTACAAGCAATTTGCTGATCCTTTTATTTAACAAATCAGTATCGCGTATCTAGCACACAGTAGTGCTTTGCCGAACTCTAGGAACTGTAGGGCTATTCATGAGATAAACATGGACCTGTGCAGTGAGTAACATAAGGACACCATCTTAGGTTGGTGCTCAAAGGAGATCTGACACCTAAAGGGGAAGGGTGGAGCCGGCCAATGTAAAGATGCGTATGAGGGTCCTCAGGTGAGGAAGGGTGCTATGAGTTAGAGGAACCAAAGGATGTTTGGAGGAAAGGGGAAAGAGCCGATGGTGACAACAAGGTCAGATTGGCCAGTGTGAATCATGGTGCACTGGGCCTGGTTGACTGGCATGGATTTTATTCTAAGAGTAATGTGAAGATAGTCTAGCATGTCATGCAGGGAAATTATATATTTTTGGATTTGGAATGTCCCCCAAAGTCTCATTTATTGAATGCTTGGTCCCCAGTACAGCCAGTTTCCAATATAGGGCTTTGGGAAGTGAGTGGATCCTAGCACTCTGATCCCAACAATGGCTCAATCCACGGGTGAATTTGGAGCTGGATGGCCTATTGGAGGTGGTGAAGACTGTAGGAGGTGGGACCTTATTGAAAGGACTTGTTCCTTGGGGGTAAACTACATCTCGTCCTCCTCTCCCCCATTCTTCCTGGCTGCCATGAGGCGAGCAGCTTTCCTCTGCTACACCTCTGTCTTCCAAGATGTTCTGCTTCTTCTCATCCCTAAAAGCATTAGAGCCAGCTGATGTGGTTGGAAACACTGAAACTGTGAGTCAAAGTAAACTTGCTCTTCTAAGTTGATTTCCTGAGGGATTTCGTTATAGTGCTACAAAGCCGACTAGCACAACATCCTTACTTTTATTTGGTAATTATTTAATATCTGTCTTCTCTGCTAGATTTTATGCTCCATGGAGGCAGACAGACGCCAGGTCTCTAGCATCCATTGATAAACTTCCAGCACCTGAAATCATGCTTGGCTCTTAGTGGGCACTTGCTGAATGAATGAATAAACATATCATCTTAATTATTTTTTCTTTTTCTTTTTTGGTTCTGGGGGTTGAACTCAGGGGTGCTTTATTGCTGAGATACATCTTCAGCCCTTTTTAAATGTTTTAATTCTGGGACAGAGTCTCTATAAAGTGCTTAGGGCCTTGCTAAATTGCCAATTCTGGCTTCAAACTCGTGAGTCTCCTGTCTCAGCTTTTCGAGATTGCAGGCGTGCGCCACCATGCCCGGCTCTTTTGATTGTCGAAACAAATTGACATAAATAGGAAATTCCTGAGGCCTCTGATTATGCTACTGCTGCTCTACCTAAGGGAATGTGGTGAAAGAAGGTGGAGGAAAAACCGGAGAAACCTGCGGCCCGAAGAGACCTGCCACTGGAGAAACCCTGGTCCAAGCAGTGGAGAAGAAAGTTGCCCTCGGGTACCTGACAGCAAGTCAGCCTGGAACTCGGAAGGGAAGATACACTACTGAAAAGGCTCAACACAGTCAGCTGCCAAAGGGAAATATTTACAGAGCTCAGATGGATTATTATAGAGCAGGCAAAAAAGAGGGCACTTAGAACTGAGCCATTAAGTTGAGGCAGTAACTTGATAATCAGTACAGATGGTGTAAAATCCCGTGGCCTAAACCAGGCTGGCAAGGCAGTGTGCGTCAGGCACCGTAGCAGTAACTTTATGCATCTTCATCTGTAGGAGATGATTGGTCCCAATTTATAGATGAGAAAACTGAGCCTCGGAGAGGCAAAGTTGCCTGCCCAGGTCACAAAATCAGCAAAGGAGGAGCAGAACCTTGAACTGGTCTGTAGGCCTCCAAGCCTCTGCTTTTTCCAACATTCCAGCTACACAGAGGCTAAGGAGTTTGGACCCAAGAGAGTAATGCTGATCTGGGCCGGGTGGTGTGGTTTCAGTTTTGCGATAAGATGGACATGGCTTGAATGGAAGAGTGGAAGGCAGTCTGCCTTGTGCATTCATATGTTATGGTTTGTTTCTGAAATATCCTCCCACCAAAATTCATGTTTTGAAGCTTGGTCCCAGGGCAGCAGTGTTCAGAGTTGGTACCTTGGGGAGTGATTGGATCATGAGAGTTCTAACCTCATCAATGCATTAATCCATTGATGAATTCATAGCTTACCAGGCTATTTGGATGGAGGTGGTAGACAATTTAGGAAGTGCGTCTAACAGGAGGAAGTAGGTCCCTGGGGATGGGCCCTGGAAGGGGATATTTTGTCCCTCTCTTCCCTCTCGCTGTGTTTTGACCTCCATGAAGTAAGCAGCTTTGCTTTCCTTGCCATGATGTCATGCACCATAGCAGTAACTTTATGCATCTTCATCTGTAGGAGATGATTGGTCTCTCACCACAGGCTCAGAAACAATGGAGCCCAAATGACCATGGATTGAAACCTCTGAGACCACGAGCCAAAGTAAATCTTTCCTTCTTTAAGTTGATTTTCTCAGAGTTCTTTTTTGTTGTTGTTACAGTGATGGAAAACTGACTAGCACATTCAGTAATTCAGGTCATAGAATCTGCCCAGGAGTCAGACTCAAGAGTCTCCTCATCCGAGAGCAGAGAACTGAAAGTTGGAGACGCTTCTGCTTCCTGCTGGGCTGCGCCCTTAATTTGGTTTAGCCTGGAGCAGATCTGGCACCTCTCCTTAGACTTCAAGGCAGGAGACTGCGCACATGACCCAGGGAATCAAGGAGTTGACCTGGGTTCCGAAAGCTACCGTGGAGGCTTCTGTGTGGAGGGCTGGTTTGCTGGCTTGGAGCCCACTTGTCTTGATATTCCCTGGAGATGGGAAGGAGGCAGTCGGAGCATGGGTGCTCTAAGGTGAAGTCTCCACATGGGATTACTTTCTTGGAAGAAATCTGAGCTGAGGTCAAGAATAAAACCTGTTAAGGTCTGGGATAGCTAAAGTACCAAACATTGTTCCAAAGTAAGATCCAGCTTCTATTTTCCCACTTATTGCTGTGGCCAGTACCATGGATGGATATCAGACTTTCCATTTTTTCCCTCATATATGTTCACACACACACACACTTGCATGTACTATTACATACTTGAATTGTTCCTGTAACGACAAACAAGGATCATCAGTGGATGCTAAAACCATTGGAACAAAGGTTGTTGAGGAACCTGATATTCATGCAGCCTCAGTGCCACCCCATAGATGGCTTACAAGTTATGAAGAGAAAAAGTTTTCCTACGATGAAGTGATCTGTGGACACTTCCTTAAACAGATGATCAAGCTTAGCAGCATCGATAATGGGACAAAATGATAAGATTCAATGGGTCGTGGGGACTACGTCACCTGCATAGTGCTAGACACGCCAGACCCTGTTAACCTGAGTTCTACTAATGGGAAAGATGAAGAAAAGTCCAAAAAATCCACATTGCAGCCTATTATACAAGGCAATTAGCTGGAACTTAAAAAAAAATGTTACTGATTTGAAAGACAAACAAATCCAAAGCAAACAAAACCCCCTAGACCCAGGTATGGTAGTGCATGCTTATAATCCCAGCAACTCAGGAGGTTGAGGCTAGAGGATCATAAGTTTGAGGCCAGCCTGGGCAGCTTAGTGAGACCCTGTTTCAAAAAAAAAAAAAAAAAAAATTAAAAGGGCTGGGGATGGGGCTCAGTGGTAAAGTGGCCCTGAGTTCAAGTTTCAATCCCTAGTACTACCAAAACAAGCAAGCAAGCAAGCAAGCTAAAACAAACCACAGATTATTCTAGATGAGAAGAATTGAAGAGAAGTGAAAATCAAATGTATCTCCCTTGATTAAATTATGAATCACAACATATTTTTAAGTATTTATTTTTTAGTTTTTGGCGGACACAACATCTTTGTTTGTATGTGGTGCTGAGGA